TCTGAAAGCTTCACATGTCCCCACTTGGTATTTGTCACACAGGTGGAAAAAGCCACTACCATCAGCCTGGCCTTTCTGTCAGCAGTGTGGACGGTACTGCAATAGTCTCACCTGACTCACAGCTAAACGACGCACATCTAAGACGTCTCCCCTACAGCTGCTCTTCAGAAATTTCTAAGGGAAGAGGTGCAGTCAGATTGTAGAGTAATAATATATCAACCTGTACATCAACTTCGATTTTTCTCCCCCCCCCACACCCCAAGTTATATAATTTTTAAAATGGCACTGGGGCAGATGTGTGTTTACTTTGAGAAGTAAAAATGTTAACATTTAAACTGAAAGCCTGTTTCAGTTTTAAGGTACTTAATTGCCTTACAGCATATAATAAACCGAGCCCATCTCGTCATTCAGCTAATGGAGGGAGTGATAAAGAGATAGGAGCCCAGGACCCAATTCATTCCAGTTTCCCTTTGTACTGGGTTTACTTTGGCACCGAGCCTCATGTGTATTTTACACTTCTTTACATTTCGTACATCCCTGTATGACAAATACTTGTCAAACAGAAACTAAACAGATTTATAACCCCTTAACTTGAAATGAGCCAAAATTGAACTGCCAAAACTTTATGACTTCATTTTCTTTCATAGTTTTCCACTACATTGGTTCAAACAGACAAACCCCACTTGAGGTCAGGCAGAGGTCATTTCACTTTCATTACGAAAATATAATTTACAATATGCCAGACCTAAACAAGTTTAGCCTAAAGGGTTTGTGTAATGTAAACCATCTGTTCCTCAACAATACAGCTAATTTCCTGCCGTTACCGTACAGTCTACTGGCTGCTTCTTTAAGGGTTTTTATGATTTTTTAACTAGTTCAGGATTTATGTAAAATTTGAAAATGAGTCTGTAGTTAAGACTCATTTGTACCAAGTAACTTGAGCGTTTTAAAAATGCAAATCACTGTGTAAATGGCTCCCCGGGAACCAAGCTCTGGGCAGTATTCTCTGGGTATTTCTACACCGGCTGCTGCACAGGTGTTCGAAGGAAAGATTTTAGTTGCTTCTCGGGCTTCTTTCTGAAGCAGCCCCCCCACATTTGGCTGTGACTAGGTCTGGCGAACTCCTCCTCCTTTTTGTATCGGCTGGAGAAGACGAGACTCCCTGCGAGATGGCCCACCAGGTAGTGTTGGTGAGATGTGACAAGACACATTTTCATGTGTCTGAACAGGGAGGAAGAACAATGATCATTCCACTAAGTGACCACGTGTCGAAGGCTGACCTCACAGCCCTGCATGGTGTCGGGCCCCAGGCCAAGCCTTCAGAGACACTGCGGGTCAAACCGGGGTGACTGGCCGGTGGGCTTCTCTCAGACAGAGCGGCCTCCTGCAGGGCAGTGGGCCTCACCCATGCAAGGGCAGCTCTTCGGGCTCTCCTGGAAACTCTTGGTATTTTTCCTCTTTAATTTTTAAAATAGGTTTATTGATTTTTTTTGAGAGAGAGAAGCATTGACGTGAGAGGAAAATATCAATTGGTTGCTTCCCATGCACGCCCCGACTGGGGATCGAACCTGCAACATTTTGGTATATAGGACAGTGCTCCAACCAACTGAGCCACACCGATCAGGGTAAATGCTTGATGCTTTTTAAAACTTCTTTCTTCATCTGTAGAATGGCAAGAGTAAAAGGCCCTCTTCCAAAGGCAAACACAAAAAGAACTAATTTGCTTACCTCCGCGCACGAGAATGCAGCCAGGCTTCTTAGTTGTGAAGGCCAAGGGACATCCTGTGAGGCTGGTGCCGTGGTCCGGTCCAGCCCCTCTCCTTTCCTGGTCCCCAGGAGGTCGGCCTGCTTGCTTCTGCTTCCCATCTGCCAGCATCCCCTCCTCCACATGGGCTCTGTCCCTCTACCTCCACCCTCCACCCTCCACCCTTAGTCTCCAAAAATAAAGTCTCTGTCATATTTTCAAGAATTTTTTTAAAAAAGCTAAGAACTATAGGAGACCAGAGAAAGATTAACCAGAGGAAATTTAGCATATTTCAAAAAAAAACATACAGGGAATTATAGAGGACTGCTAGAACTTCTTAGGCTATAAATGTATCTAAACCATTTGCATTTACTCCACTCCCTAGATTACTTTGCTAATAAGGAAAATAAGATTCATTTAAAGAGTATTCAATAGGTAGAAATTGCTTTCATATGCTGTTGCATCTAATCCCTACTGTAACTATGGAAGCTAAATATTATTTCAGAGCTATGGAAATAGAGGTTCAGAAAAGTTCAGAAATTCTCCCAAGATCAGCCAGCTCATATATAGGACCTATCCCACAGGGTTGCTGTATTAAATGAGTTAATATTTGCTCAGTGCTTAGAACAATATTTTACACATAGTATATGCTGTATAAATATTAACTATTAATAGAAAACAACAGTTCCAAGGTGCAAATTCAGATTTGTATGAGTCCAGACTCACTTGGTTTGAATTACAGCATGCTGCCAGTGGTTTAGTTTCGGCAGGGGCAGGAGAAGGGGAGTGATAATTCCTCATTTTATCAGTCTAATAGTCCTTGGGTTTAGTTCCTAATTCCCATTTTCCCTCAAAAGAAGTATATTGTTCAGTCCTTTGCCCTTCTCTATTCCTAAAAGCCAGGGGACCCTGTTTAGAGCAAAAAGTAATGCTTTTCAAGGGACCTTCAGATAAATTAGGACTATTTACATCATTAGGAAAAGTTCTGATGGAAATTCTAATCTGAATGTCATGCAGGAAGAGTTCACCTTGGCTTGTTCTTGCCACAAAAGCAAAATTATCTGAGCGCTGCAGAAGAAAAAAGTTGGGACGGTTGAGGGGACAGACGTGATGGTTGTCACGTCTGTCCCCTCCCAATAACCACTGCTGTTTCCTGAGCATCCTTTCAGAGTTCCTTTTTTGCATATGCAAAGAAATATGAATATATTCTTTTCCTTCTCCTTTTTCACACAAAGGCAGAACAACATTAACTGATTTTTTTTAACTTAGCAGTAGGATTTTGGAGCTCTTCCCATACCAGTACATAGAAATAGTACTCACTTGTACTATTGTATTTACTAGTTCTACCATAATTAATCTGATGTCTCCTTTAGGTAAATGTTTAAGTTATTTCTGATCTTTTGCATTACTATACTATAGTAATAAGCAATACTATAAAGAATCAAATAGATCAATCAGCTTTAATTTACTGAATGTTTCAGGCAATGTATAGCATTACCTTCAGTAGAAGTAACTTTTCTATAAGACATTTTCAAATACAAACTCCATAATCTCTGCTTGAATGAACACATAAGACCTATTTATAATAATGTTACTTGCAGAGAAGAATGTTTCTCAACATCCTCAGTTCCATTTTGTCCTTTTAACTGGGTATTTTGCTGCAAGTTTATTTACACTTATAATTAGGTTAGTGGGCATTTTTGCCCTGGAAAATATCAGCCTAGAACAGAGCCGATCATCATGAATTCTAAATTAGTTCAATTTGGATTAGAGAAGTTTTTCTTTACTTAATTTTCTAAACTGTTGTTTTAAACTCCGTGTTGAGAGCTCTGCATTCCATATGGATTTGCAGCACCGTCAGCTTCAATGGAGAGCCTCAGAGCAGGATTCTTTTACTACAAATAAGGATTTAGAGTTCGGGAAGTATTCTAAAAATTGGTTTATGTACAAATGCATTGCTTTTATGACTTCCCGTAACAAATTAGACTAAATGTCAGGGTAGATTCGAGATGAATTTCAAAAAATAGGAAAACGCATAACATTACAGACATTTATTGCCAAGATCAAATTCACAATTTAATACTTACATTTTTGTGAGGTACATGCTTTCCCCTGTGTTTTTTACAGGTCCATCAGTAAACACCCCACTTGCAAAGCTGTAGGAATATCAGTTGGTATGAAGTTGAAATCTGATTAAGATAAAATATGTTCATAAAAAGATAGCAACAGCAAGGTAATAACAGGAAAAGTTGAATAGCATTTACCATGCACCAGTCATCATGCTGAGTACTTTAAAATGCTAACATATTAGAAGTTCACAAGAATCCTACAAGCTAAGTACACTTATATCAAGTACTAGCATCCCATTTTATAGACAAAGGAACTGAGGCATGAGGTGGTTAAATACACAAGGTCACTCAGCTGGTGAGCGGAGAATGCAGGGTTCAAGATCTGACTGCCTGGCTTAGAGGTCATGTGTGTCACTAGCTGCCACCCTGCCTCTTGCATGTAGTGGCCTTCAGACTATAAAGTGACAAGGACTCCAGAGGAGGCAAAGACCATAGAGGTCAGATAGACCTTCAGAGGACACAAGAATTTGATGAGAGGACCACATTCCAAACCATCCCACTTCTACTGTCTACCTTAGGAAGACAGTTTTTTATTTTGGTTTCTCTGGCTTTTTGTACAATAAATATTCTGAAAATAGGCTAGCATGTGCACGGTGTTTAGAGGTGGGAAATGAAGAGACCCACTGACCTGTAGTGATCCCATCACACAGAGGAGTCGCAAGGACAGGCCGGTGAGGACCAAGTCACAAACACGCGAGGTGCCAGCCTAAGAATCAAGGTGGTACCATCTGCAACAATGCTTTTCACACTCAAATGTTCACCGAACTCACCTGGGGTTTATTAAATGCACATTCTGCTTTATTAGGACTGAGGGGGCCCATGTGTCCTCATTCGTAGTGAGCTGCCAGTGGTACTGATGTTGCTGGTCCCAAGACCACACCTGGAGTAGCAAGACTCTAGGCAACAGCAGGAAGCCATTGTTGGTGCAAGGGTGTAGATGAGGGATGGGGAGTTGCGGACAGAAAGTTGCCTATGGCACCTCCCCTAAGTTGCAGCACACTGTTTAAACCATATAGACCTACAATATTTTCATCTAATGTATAGAAACTTTCTACCTCCTCCTTCCAGATGGCCAAGTAAGTGCCTTAAGAAACATTTTAAGCCACATGTTCCTTTCTTTCCTACAGAGCAAGGCTAAGGAGCTGCCACTTTCTGCTGTACGATTTATGGAAGAATTGGGTGAATGTGCCTTTGGAAAGATCTATAAAGGCCATCTCTATCTCCCGGGCATGGACCATGCTCAGTTGGTTGCTATAAAGACTTTAAAAGACTATAATAACCCCCAACAATGGACAGAATTTCAACAGGAAGCCTCTCTGATGGCCGAACTCCACCACCCCAACATTGTCTGCCTTCTAGGCGCTGTCACTCAGGAGCAACCTGTGTGTATGCTTTTTGAGTATATGAATCAGGGGGACCTCCACGAGTTCCTCATCATGCGATCCCCGCATTCGGATGTCGGCTGTAGCAGTGATGAAGATGGGACTGTAAAATCCAGCCTGGATCACGGAGACTTTCTGCACATTGCAGTTCAGATCGCAGCTGGCATGGAATACCTGTCCAGTCATTTCTTTGTCCACAAGGACCTCGCCGCTCGCAATATTTTAATCGGAGAGCAACTTCATGTAAAGATTTCAGACCTTGGGCTTTCCAGAGAAATATACTCCGCCGATTACTACAGGGTGCAGAGCAAGTCTTTGCTGCCCATTCGCTGGATGCCCCCTGAAGCCATCATGTATGGCAAATTCTCCTCTGATTCAGATATCTGGTCTTTTGGGGTTGTCTTGTGGGAGATTTTCAGTTTCGGACTCCAGCCCTATTACGGATTCAGTAACCAGGAAGTGATCGAAATGGTGAGAAAACGGCAGCTGTTACCATGCTCCGAAGACTGCCCGCCCAGAATGTACAACCTCATGACAGAATGCTGGAATGAGATCCCTTCCAGGAGACCGAGATTTAAAGATATTCACGTCCGGCTTCGGTCCTGGGAGGGACTCTCGAGTCACACCAGCTCCACTACGCCTTCGGGGGGAAACGCCACCACGCAGACCACCTCCCTCAGCGCCAGCCCCGTGAGCAATCTCAGCAACCCCAGATATCCCAACTACATGTTCCCGGGCCAGGGTATCACACCACAGGGCCAGATCGCTGGCTTCATTGGCCCGCCGATACCTCAGAACCAGAGATTCATCCCCATCAATGGCTACCCAATACCTCCTGGCTATGCAGCGTTTCCAGCTGCCCACTATCAGCCACCAGGTCCTCCCAGAGTGATTCAGCACTGCCCACCTCCCAAGAGCCGGTCCCCGAGCAGTGCCAGTGGGTCCACGAGCACTGGCCATGTGACCAGCTTGCCCTCATCAGGATCCAATCAGGAAGCAAATATTCCTTTACTACCGCACATGTCAATTCCAAACCATCCCGGTGGAATGGGTATCACCGTTTTTGGCAACAAATCTCAAAAACCCTACAAAATAGACTCAAAGCAACCATCTTTGCTAGGAGACTCCAATATTCACGGACACACCGAATCTATGATTTCTGCAGAATTATAAAATGCACAACTTTTGTAAATGCGGTACACAGAAAAAAAACTAGAAAGCCGTAGGAAAAAAATTATATTCAAATGTTTTTATGAAAGTACGGTTCTCATTTAGCAGATACTGCAACAGGTATCTTCTGTGAAGTTTAATTGTGTCTTACCAAGCAGGGCAGACACCAGCCAGAAGGGGACGCTGTGGGACTAAGGCCTTACAGGGTGTACACCACAGCCGCGGGGCTGGCAACGCCGGTTTCAAGTACCGAAACCTGCAAACCAGCGAAGAGGAAAAGATCCTTGTGGTTATGCATCAAACCAAAAAGGAAAGTCACATGGTGCTTTGTGTATTTCACTTTGAGTCACCATGACTGGTCTCTCCCCAAAATGTATATACCGTAGCATTTGTCTACCTGCTGTCTTTTCTTCAGGACATATGTTCAGGAATTATGTTGATTCAATTTAGACTCTATGCATCTTTGTGCGGAAATGATGTTCAAAATCAATGAGGAAACCTTAGGCCAAATTTGAAATCCCACATGGAAATGAGCCATAAGACAAGAGTTAAGTTCCCCTGAAGCCTTGTACACAGTGGGGCTTCTTTGGGAAGGTGCAGAGTGTGGCTCTTTGTGAATCTCCTCTGCTGATCATGAAGGCCTTTTCTACATTTTCTTTTTCCACAGTGTGTTTACACAAGCCCTTGAAAAAAGTATAGGGCTTCAGACCATAAGAAGGCTAGATGTGGATGTTGGAATTGATTACTGGTTGGTAGTGATAGTTTATTTTGTTGTAGTAGAAATGAGGCACCAAAGGAAGCACAGTCAGGAAAATGGCCCCTCGGCCTAGATCGGCATCCGTGGGAGAGGAACAGGGCTCCCATGAGGACAGCCTTGTGGGAGCTTCCCTGGACTGGTAACACTGAAGAATAGAGGCGTGGCTGCAGACCAGCAGGTCAGTGCTTGCGACGTCCTGCCTCCGAGTTGTTCGGTGGACTCTGGGGGAGTAGGAAACTGACACCAATATCTAGTTAAATTTGCTCTCACTTTTTTTTTTCTGATCTGGAAGTGTTCACAGATTTTATTTCAGTACCGAGAGTTATGACAATTTATTCATAGGGTCAGTTGGAATCCAAAGACTATGAATTCTATTTTGTAAAATATCACAGTATTTCTAAGAAACAAGTACTGAGTTCTCACTTCAAAACTTAACCATGAACTGAAATTTTTTAGCTGATAAATAGAAGCAAATGATCATTTTTGCCTTAGTTAGAGGAAGGTAACCAATGGGCATCTCATGCCATTTACCTGCTGGCCATCTGCCAAGTTTAGAGTTCTTATGGATGGGTTTCAAGTTTTATATAGAAAGGAAGGTTATGGTTGACTTTTCTCTTATTAAAAAATAGCTCCTTTATTCTAAGAACAATGTCTCCAAGTCTCTCTCTTTTTTTTTTAGTTTTATAGCTAAAGAGACTTATAAAGAGACTTACCAGATATAAAGTAATTCCTGGAAATGATATTTGATGAGGAGAATGTAAGAGAATTAGAAGCACATTGATGTTTCACTTTTTAAAAAAAATAAAATTAGGGTGAGAAATCACAAAAATACATTTACCAAAATGTGCTGCAATTTTCCCAAACACTGAGTCTTCAGACAACAAACATGGACACATAGGTACTGTGAACTTAAAGAATTGGCTATATCCAAATTCATCAGAGAGAAATTAAGACACATTTTTCTGGCATAAATAAGCTGATTCAGAAGTTACATTTCTTAACTTTAGGTAGAGGAGAATATTTGTATCCTTTTGTTGCTATGCAACTGTTTAATGATGAAGATTCAAACCACAATTTTGTATATCATACGACAATCAATTGTTTTCCAAGAATATTTATTTCAAGTAATCACAATTTCAGTGAATCTGAGTTTTTCTAGGAGTCCCTTAAAGGGAAATTAGCATTCCGTGAGCCAGTAAAATATCTACTCTGGAAAAACATTGCTATGGTTAAAAAAATAAATTCAAGTTAGTTTTTTATAAAGAACTATAACATTTATTTTAAGCATTTTATAATTACTGAAGTCATTAAGGTGAGCAAACTAAATTTCAAAACCACTTGTAATAATGTATTTTATAATAGCACTGTGATACTACATAACACAGTCCCTTTTGTATTAAAATAGTATTTTTTCCACAAACTGAAAAATATCTTTTGCTTTGTTGACAATGTTTTTTTGTAAGATGACTTTATTTTCAAATCTTTTCTTTTTTTTTGCACAAAACTATTGTTTATGATTTGTATCACAGAAGTGGAAATATATCTTTGCATTTTTATGTCTGGCCTGTTTCCTTGTTTCTTTGTTTTTAACTCAATATAGATTTTCTTTAAATATATAATGGCAATATTCAGATATCTCACCCTCCCATTTCTTTTCTTATTTTCACTGCATGCATTTAATCACTGTATTACTTAATGTTTGATTTGTTATTATGGGCATTTAAAATAGACAAGCATGGAATTGTAATGACAAAAAGGCTATTTTATATGGAGGATATACGCATTTGTATTTCACACACCAGAGATGATATTAAACACTGATTATTTTATGCTGCTGTTTATTAAAAACGTTTACCATAAAATATTATTATTTCCTGAATATCACTATCATGAAGGTATTTAGGAATTTTAATACTATTTCTCCTAATGATTGACATTTCATAGAAAGATAAATCATAATTCTTATTTACTGCTATTTCATTGAGAAAATTTTATTAAATAGGCTTTTAAAAATAGACCTTGGCATTCTTTTGCTAGTGACCATAGTTTGCAGGGAGGAACCCAATGATTTCATGAGTATATATTATCCACCTACATATGGCAAGATATTAATTTTTTAAATCAAAATAATATATGAAATAACTACAATCAAATAGAATGTTAAAATTGGGTTTAAAGGTTGCATCCTTATCTGCTTTGATGTTTCCATGTCAACTTCGACATCAAAAATCATGTCTTAGAATTCTGAGAAAGAAAAAAGCTACGTACATCTTCTGTTTGACTTAGATTCCAACCATATCGATAAAAGAAATGTGGCCATTTAATTGTCACAGCTTACCTTTCTGACCTTATTTGCCCAAAAGAAAAAGTTCCCCATCTGGTGATTAATACACACTGTCAAAAGAAAGTGAGTATCATTATGAAAGTTTGAAGAATTTGGCCATTTCTTCTCTTTGATACAGAAGGGACTACAAAAAAACCTCAGGGCCTCATCCATCCGCTCCACCTACAGCTCTTGTCAACACCTCAGGACCCAGCCCAGGAAAGCAATCACATCACAGCGGTGCAATCCACGTCAGGCTGGGTCTCTCCCTCTCGTCTGAGTCCCCCAATCTTCCTGCCACTCTATTTCCTCTTTACGCCTCTCTAGGCTCTTCCCACCCACCATCCCCATTCCCTTCAACTCTCTGCTTTGGGCTTCACCCTTACCTCCCTGAGCACCAATGTCTGCCAGCTTGCAGCTCCAGCTCAGACAAGGCCTACCTCAAATCCCTAAATACTGAAGACGAACCCTATAATTGACACACCTTTGAAGACAATGAACTATCCCAGTGGTTCTCAAAGTGTGGTTTTCAGACTGGCAGGCCTTGGAACTTGTTAGAAATGCAGATTCTCAGGCTCTACTTGGAAGTACTGAATCAGAAACTGTGGGTGGGACCCAGAATGTTGTGCTTTAGTAAGCCCTCTGGTATTATACAGTTTAAGAATCACAGAACCACCGTCACTGAAAAAGGTGAAGGGTGGGGAGATGGTTATTATGTCCTTAGGAATGTATTTATATAAGCATTTATAATGTTTTAGCTACTTTAGTCAAAGGAAATCAAGCACAAATTCAGCACTAAAAAGTTTGTGTTAACCATTTTACAATTGGTAGTATTTTTTTGCAGTTGTTCACTTGGGGAGAAAACTAACAGCACCTAACTTTTGTCAAGAATGTATCCCTCCTCTAGTTCACTCAGGACCCACATTTTTGGATAGTGACCAAAATCGCTTTCCTTCATAGGGACAAGCTGAAAAGCGTTGGTCTCTTAGTGTACCTTTTTTTTTTTGTTCTGATAACTAACACAAGTAAGAGAACTCTCCTTTTTGTTGCAGCGTGACAAAATTAAGGTCAAGGATAGATTGGTCTTGGGAGGAGGGAAGACCCAGCCCCGGGTGAGAATCCAACAGAAGCAGCTGCAGAGGCTCCCACTCCCCTGAGCTTCCTGTGACAACCTGACCCAGTTGGCTGGATGCTGTCACCTGTGGTTTGTTCCAGGGGTTCCTTTGCCAGCAGCAGGGCAGTCCAGCAGTCCCACTGGCTGTCTCCGGGTGCTGCTCTGCTCAGGCGATGCTCCTCATTGCCTTTAAGGCTGAACGCGCTGAGGAAGGATAGCAAGATTTAGGGGAAGTGCTAGAGGGGAAGCTCAGACTCTCCTTAGTTTATGCATTGTTTCTCAACCAATAGTTCAAATGCTAAGGAGGAAATGCTATATAAGAAGACCAGGAGCAAAAGAGTACACATGTAAGGAGGAAGTTTGTAGCCAAAATATAACCGCATCTGAAGCTGGTTACCATAAATACCAGGAGCATTAGGGCACTTTTCAGAAAGAGAGACTGACAAACTATCAGAGTACTCAAGGTCAATGTAATCCCCTGGGAAACTAGGCTGAGAAGGCTTAAAAACGTGGAGACATGCAGGGAGAAGGTATGCTGACGTATTTAGGACCAGTGGAATCCTAAGCACCTATGAATTGCTTATTCTCAAGCAAGTACTATAACATTTGCTGACCGGTCCCAACACGATGATTTTCCTTAACAAAGTGACCAGGTTAGTAAATATTTTTATTCAGGAGTGGTTACATTAAGAGAAAAACCCTGATTTAAAATTAGATGGGGTATTCCTTATACTTTTAAAAGGTATAATTTGTGCTGAAATAAAGATAATTCAAGGAGTATTCAATTTGGGGAAACACGGGTCAAAATGTTTATCTTCGTGGACCTGTGTCCTTGGCTGTAAATTGAAAGACACTCACAGACCAGCTGCACAAAGCCGCAGATTAATGCTCAGTCTCTACACAGACAGAGGCACTCGGAACTTGCTCAGGAAATAGATGGAGATCAGGCTGCGTCCCACAGCAGCAGCCCCTTAGCCACTGCAGTTCTCTGATAGGTCCAGTCATCCTTTGGCCCCTGATCACATAGTCCCCTAAAACCTCTCTTTTGAGTCTATATACATAAAAATCACTGGAAATGAGCCAAGACTCCCCAATGGCATAATCTAGGTATTTACTGAGAGTCAACCTCAAAAGACTAAGACTAATATTTAGGCAAAATGACAGTTCAGGACTTAATGTGTACTCCCAACGTTCACTCTAGAAATACTGTGTATTTCTTGTATTGATTAGCTTGGATGCAGTAGTAATTCCCAAATCTCAGCCTTGCAAGAGCAAACACTTCTTTTTCTAGTTCACGTCAGCAGAGGTGGGTTTGCTGCTGTGCCCGCACTCAGGTCTCTGAAGGCAAGCTGTTTTCATGGCATCGAGAAAGGGCAAAGAGGCATAGCACAGTCCCCAGTCTGGGAGAAGCCTCGAGTGGGCAGACTTAGTATAGCAAACCCACGCACACACCAGCCCCTCTTGCATTCATGGCAGACCCCACTCATGGATGCTTTTCCCAGCTGAGTTCCATTTTAGCCTTAAAATTGTCAACATGCTGCCATGAATAACCTCCTAATCAGCCAGCAATAGCACCAGAGATTCCATTTCTCAGCCATCCCTGCACCAGAGCGGTACTTGTCAAATGATCGTCGCCATCATTTGGGAAGATTTCTAATGATCATAACTTCTCAGGACCATCCCAGAAAGGACCAGAGAAGACACCTTAAAATCCCATAGATTCCTTAGCATACAACACTCTGTCTAGACTTCCCTCCTCCATGGGACCCGGATGAAAGAACAGCACCAAGCATGCACTTTCCAACGGCTCCAGCATGGGAGCCAGCTGACCCTGAGGAAGTCAGTCAATCTCTACTGCTTTACCCATAAAATAATATAGATGTAGCTTAGAGGGTAAGAGTAAAGGTTCTGATGTCAGATTACCTGAGCTTAAATCTCCCTTTCACCCCTTGGTAACCACGTAAATTCAGACAATTTGCTGACCTGCGATTTTATCATCTGAAAAACGTATCTGCTTCAGAAATGAAGTAACATAAATGGGCTAATTCATGTAAGCGGCAGAGAAGAGTGCCTCTGACAAAAGTTCTCCAAAAACAGTCTGCAACTTTATAATTTTTCTATAATACTTGTCTTTCACAGGTAAAGAGAATGTATGTAAATATATGAGAAATAGTTGGCAAATAGCAAGCGCTCAGTCAGCGGTAACATTGCTACTATTCAATGTGTTTCAAACAATTTTTTTATACAGGAATACATTATTTTTTATTGTGGTATAAAATGTACAGCACAAACTATTCTATTTTTTATGTGTATACCCATAAATGTAGAACACCCAGTACTAATGCCCACAAAGTGAGGGAGGGCTTAGTCCCTCCATAATGTCCATCACCGCCCTTCGAACTACCCCTAATAAACATACGCTAAGTAAAAACAGCTTCAAGATGCATCCCTGAGCCAGTGATTTTCAACCTTTTTCATCTGGTGGCACCCATGAACTATAATAGTTACTGAAATCTTGCAGCACAATAAGAAATACTTTTTTTTCCAATCTGCCCCCCAGAAAACAGGCATAATTTTGATTCATTCACACCAACTGGCTATTTGTGGGCTGTTGTCATTTTTCACTTGACAATCTAAGAGAAAAGAGGTCGGCGCCCCAGTGAATAGTCAGGTATGGCATGTTCTAAAAATTTCTGCAGTGCACCTATTGAGAATGGCTGCCCTAAGCCTTCCCTAAACCCTAGGTCATGCCTCACACCCACTCAGAACCAGCTGCCACCTCAAAACTCCGGTGCTGAAATTCTGGAGTTATCCTTAGGGCAACTGACTATGAAAAGGGTCACTAAACCAATACATGTGAAAGAAGCAGAAAATAATCACACCTTTTAAGCCTTTCCCCTCCCACACCGCTCACACCTTTAACCATCACAACTGTGCTTAGATATTATTATTGTAAGTGCAGTGTCTCCCAGTGATTGATGTTCCTCTGTGAGGAATGAAATAAAAGGAGACCCGATTCTACTAAAATACGTAAAGTTCCCAGGCAGGCGTTGCATTCCTTTGTCATAAAACCCCTAAGATCCTCTCCTATAGGAATTCTGAGCATTACTTTTTAGAACTTTGATTATAGGGTTTGGGCATCAGCCTGCGATAGAAAACGAAATATGTTCCTTTAAGCACCAAGGTCTAAAAACAACAACAAGCTTTTACCAACAAGTTGCCTGCACAGTTCCCACCCTGAAAATGCCCTTGATTAAGGCGTTTTCATGCACTAGAGTAACTATGCCGGTAACTAGAGTAACTGTGCCAGTTTGCCAGGGACTATCCCAATTTGAGTACTCGAAGCCCCCAGTTCCCAGGCAAACATAGACCCTTGGTCACCCTAGCTAATGCCAAGAACATGAAATAAAAGCCAGCATGTATCGGTTCTGAGTTCCTCTCTGTCAGGTAGACACAAATATAAACATAGGTAGTGATCACTGACTGGCCCCTGCATCTCAGGTGCCTTACAGGGAGCGACTAAATTGCCTTGTAATTAACACAAGTCTGAAATTGGGGGGAGCCTACATTTCAACTTTGCAAAGAGCAACCCAGCATTTCTTGGAGCCTCGATTTTCATAAAAGAAAAATAAATTTTAAAAATGAGAAATTTCAGAAATTCAAGTCACTGAAGTGGGCTGCCCACCTCTTTCTTCCTGTTTGATCTTTGAAGATTAGCATTCGGTATTTTTCATGACATTTATATTGAGAAAGGAATATCAGATTATTAAAAGCAGAGAAACTCCGGATGGGAACGCACATCAAAAGGTCTTCAAGACAAAGGAGGGATCACGATTGGAAACCAGAGTTACTAGAAGCATGTGTGCTGCACTTCATTTTCTCGTTAACAGCGTAACATACGTCAAAATATGATTTAAAACATGTCTCACAGCTGAGCTGACATTTGGCGGTTCTCAGCCTCCCTTTGCTCTTGAGGAGGGGGGTTCAAATCCAAACGAGGTTAACACTTTGTACTGGTACATATTCCTGGTGGATGAGGAAAACAGTCTTATAGTTTAAGTAAAATGAAAACATCTGCTCAAGTCCTAAGGGAAAGAATTGTTTTTTAAAAAGAGGTGGAGGGGGTGCTTGGTGTCAAAGCTGGAGATGGCCTCAGTAACTTCACCAAAGCTAATTACACTTTCACTTGCCTTGCTCACTTAGGATGATGAAAATCTGTACCTGAGTCCTAGTTCAGCCTCCATTTTTCAGGACGCCGTACCTATCTTATCCCCTAACCCCATCTAAAGCAATATGTTAATGTCTACTAATTGGTTTCAAGTGCTTTTCACACTAAATTTGTGAGTGATTATCCTCTTGTCACATAATTTGTCTTGGTCAGTAGTTGGACATGCTAGGTAAGAAGTTGTATTAGTTAGCTATTGCTGTGTAACAGACTACTGCAAACTTACTATCTTACAACAATATGGGCACCGTGTACTGAAATTTCTGCTCAGGGTCTCCATAGGTGGAGGCTAGGTCGTGTTCTGATCTGTGGTTCAGGTCATTTTCCAAGCTCGTGTGGTTGTGGCAGAATTCAGTCACTTGTTTACAGGGCTGGGGCCCCGTTGTCTTGCTGTCAGCCAGCCGCCACTCTCACCTCCGAGAAACTGCCCACATCCCTTGTCACACGGCCCCTTCCGTTTTCAAAGGTAGCAATAGAGAATCTTCCTCACATGGAATCCTTTTCACACTTTGAATTACTGACTTCAGGAAGAGCCCAGTCTCCCTTAAGGCTCACCGGATTAGGTCAGGCTCACCCAAAATTCTCTCTCTTAAAGTTAACTGTGCCATATAACTTCACTTAATCAAAGTGAAATCTATTCATATGCAAGTTCCGGAGATAATGCAGGGCCTGGAGATCTTCAAGCTCCTCTCGGAATTCTGCCTACCATAAAAATACAATACAACATTTCTCTTTGCAATTCCCCAGGCCTAACTTTAGAGGAAAAGTGTGCAAAAAAGCCCTGAAAGCATATAGGAGGACTTAATTAAATTTACTCTTCATTTGAAGTTACACAAGTACTAAAAGTTAATATTAAAATATATAGCAATTGGTATTTGGAGCTACATTCAGAGTACTACAAATACATTCATAGATTATAGGAGTCAGACAGATTTCTTAATAAATTTAAAAGACAAAACAATTATTTACAGATATATGTTGGGCCTTTATTATGTGCGAGGCACTATTTTATACAGCAGTGGTCCAGCTTTCTTGGGTGCATATTTTGGTCAACAGGTAGAAATGTAGCCAAAAATAAACACCAAATATAATAAACACAAAAACAACATATGCATGATGAAAGCTATTGGGAGAAGCACCACTTTATTAAAGAGAGCTAGGTAGCTCATGTGGGACAACAGGAGACCTCTGCAAGGCAGGGTTGCCTAGGGGTTAAAGGCGCAGACTCTGGAGCTAGATACCCTGGGGTCTGCATCCTGACTGCACTGTGTTCCAGCTGTGTGACCTAAGGCAAAGTACCTGGCATCTGTGTGACTCGGTTTCCCTTACTGTAAAAATTAGAATCATAAGAGCACCTACCTCATAGGGTTGTTTTAGAGGATAAAGTTAATCTCTGTAAAACACTTAAAATAGTGTTCACAGCACACGGTAAGTGCAGGTGTTGACTATCACTCTAGGTGGCGTGGAGAGGGGCGAGTTAAACTCATTTTCACCCAGGGCCACATCAGCCTCGCAGTTGCCTTCAAAGGGCTGAATGTAATTTAGGACTGTATAAATGTAACTATTCCTTAACTAGGGGCAAGGAGCTCAGTGCTGCCAGGTAGAAACAAGGTGCTGAGCGTATAAAACAGGTAGAGGGCTGGATTCAGACCTCAGGCCTTTGTGTTTGCCACCTGTGCTGTAGGCAATGTGTGGGGGCTTGTCGGGCATTTTTTAAAATCTCATAATAATCCAGTGAGATAGGTATTATTATTGGCTGCATATTTGAGCCAATACTTGAGAAAAATTAAGCACACAGAGGCCAAGTAACGTCTTCAGGGCTATGTAGGCTACCAAAACATGGGTCTGCTGGGATACTGTCCCAAACTGCTGCAAGCGACGGGAATCTGAGGAATTATAAATAGTTCTCTGTTCGTGGAGCGTTCTCTCGGAGTAATTGTAGGGTTCCACGACACAATAATATGTCCAAACGTATTTTGAATGGTAGCTTGCCATAAGTTAAGATACTGTTATTAATAAGGATACACCTGTACCTACTGGTCATTTCTCATATTCAAAGAAAAAGAAAGGATCATTTTGGAGATGGACTCGAGTGAGGGCTTCTGCGACTTACTTGCTGGACCCCGAGAGTTCACCCTATCCCTATACTGCAGTTAGGTAGAGTCCACGTTGGTGGACTCAGAGGTGAGGGCTCGACAACGGATTTTCACTGGTCTTTCAAAGTGCCAGAGCATTGAACAATTGGTGGCGGAGGCTTCTAGAGGTCTGCCCCCTGTCGCTGATTGGATAAGAGGCGGTCGAACTCCCACCTCCTTCTCCTTACTTTCTGGAAGGAGCCTGTTGCTTGGCAACTGATATGCGTCCTCCAGCTTCCGGGACAAGTTACACCTGTGAATAGGAACAAAGCTCCAGGCCGTCCATCACCTTATGCCTCTTACGTTCACTTCACGCACCAACAAGGCGGGGTTGTCCCAGGTGCAGGTTCTCATTTGCCTTGAGATTGGGCTGTGGGCTGACCCTGGATTGACGCACCGCAGTCAAGAACGTGCCCAACTTTTCCCTCTGGAAAACTTAGTTTGGAGGAGAAAAGAAAGTTCCTGTTACATGCCCAACTCAGAAGCCATTTATCTTGGGAGCACACGGTGTTCTGCGATGCCAGAAAGCAAGGGAACTTAGTCAGTTAACCAGGTGTGGAGGGTGACTTGTAACCCAACACACCTGCCTCAGAGTAAACCCTAGGAGCGTGGAGACAAGTGCCAGACCCTTTGCTGCCTTAGCATGTCCTGCAGAGCTTAGTTCCTGCTGCAAAGAGACTTCCAAGAGTTGAAAGAGAACAACTATGAGGTGAGTACAGAGAACTCAGAGTGATGGGTTTCACTGGGACAAAACTTTAAAAAAGCAGTTCGATCTGTGTTTATGCTATAAGGCATAATTTAATTAAACCTAATTTACCGCTACAGTATTGTTGTTTAACAAATCTACTTTATTGTAACAACTCATTCATAACAATAATTACTTCCTGATGATAATAGTTAACAACATTGAGCACACTGTGTTGAGTAATTTATATGGATTTCAACCCTGAATATCAGGGCCAATCAGACGGTAAGTGACTGCAGGTGCAAGGCTGCTCGCATCAACTGCAATACTATAAGTAGTGTTTTGTTTTACCTACCAGAAACCTAAGCCTCAGAAAGGTCCAGTAAATATTTGGCCTTAGGATTTTATCATTGGGTGTTCTGACTCCCAAACCCCTTGCTGCTAAGTCTTCTGTTCTACTACTTACTGTCTAGTGTGCTTTTTTGCCAGTGGCTATTGAAGCAGGAAAAGCTAGTGTTCCTCCCCCCCCCCCCCGCCGTCACCTACCCAATAAGCAGAGACAGGGATTGAACCTTTATGCGCACTTTATTCAGATGGCTGGTGATCTGAAAAGACAGCGAGTTTGTATTCTAACAGACCATCAGTGTTTTCAACTGACCCTTTCTATATGGAGAAGTAAAGTGTAGGTAAGGGGTTTAGAATTCAGGGGGGGGAATTAATCAGATAAAAGCCTCAGCATTCTTTCATCTGTTGACCAGTGGTCCTTTATCTGGGCCATGGGCATGGCACCCTGGAGCACAAGGGCTCAGATACCATCCTGGTTTGCTTGCAGGCCTCCCGAGCACAAAGGTGGAACTGCGTATTGTCTCCTGGAGTCAGGGTGGGTCACACCTTCAGTTCCTGAAACCATAGCTTTTACAGACGTTGATTGCTAAGCTTATTAGCCACTGCCTAAAATTTTCCAACAGTCGAGTCCCCCATCACTATCACAATACATAGAGGCCTTTCCCTTATAATTTTAACCCACAGGAAGGCTTGGCTTCAGGTGCCACCAATAAAGTTCTCCATGTTGGTGGGTGCCTTGGGCTGATATATCACATACGGTACGGAAAATTTGTTTAAGAGGAAGACATGGAGGAAAAGAGAACACTTCAGAGAAAGAATAGAAAAGTAGGTTTATAGTTGTGAGTACACAAAACAGTTAATTCTTGTATTTTTATATATTATTGTATTATTTTCCATACAAACAACTGTAAACCTACTTTCGCCCCACCCTATACATTACTGTCCTTCTATTCCAACAATATCTCAATCGTAGGGAAATTTATTTTTATATACAAGCATAATCTTGGAGTTGTGTTTTTCTTAATGAAAATGTTCTCACTTCATGCCTTCCATACAGCATCCATACATTGGGTTGGCTAAACAGTCCATTATGTTGTTTCCATATGATGGCTCTAGTAGCACTTAGTTGTCTTTAACTTCAATTTCCTTAAATTGTATTGTGACAGCTATCAAATCAGCATGCACTTAAAAAACTTATAAAAATTGGTGAATTTTTGTGCAGCCATTTTAATATTGAAGATGGAAGAAAATACATAACATTTTTGGCATATTATGCTTTATTATTTCAAGAAAGGTAAAAATGCAATTGAAATGCAAAAAAAGATTTGTTGCTGTGTATGGCAAAGGTGCTGTGACTGATCAGATGTGTCCACAGTGGTTAGTGAAGTTTCTTAATACTGTTAACATTTTAGCAAAAAAAAAAATCCTTTGCTGTGGGGCTGTCTTATGCATTAGAAGATGTTTTTAGCATCACCCCTGGCGTCTACCCTCTAGAAGCCAATAGCAGGAGATGGCTGGCATACTCAAACTATTCCAATCAAATTACTGGTGAAAATGAAAAATGTCTCTTATTTTCTGGAAAAAACACAACAGACTTTTTGGCCCACCTAATAGTTTTAAAAAGCTCTGAAGAAACTCATGCTTTTCAATTATTTCCTTCTCTTCTAATTTGAATCTTAGATTGGCTATTGACTTAAATAAGCCACACATCGCAGTCTTGATCTTCTACTCCCACATGGGATTTCCGCACTTACGCTTTATTTTTAATTTACTGTTGTGTGTGCTCCCTGGAATGTACTGTAACAGCTGTGTAATGATGCACAATATAATACTTTCCCAAATCAGCAAATGAATAAATTCATCTGGGAAAGAAAATATAGCGTTTTTGGAATTCATTGTAACCTGATATCTAATTTTTCAAAGCTGCAGTAAATATTTAATCTTTTTACTGGTTTGAATTGTTTTCTTAATTAAAGGGTGTTACTGCCTTTCCTGTAAGTGAAGATATGATGGAATGGGAAGCTGATATTGAAGGTCTACAGAACACAGTTTGGCAGGGTATGTGTGTTCAAAATCAATCTACTTTTAAAAAAGTCTTTATGCCATTTTTAACCCATCTTCTTTATGTGCAAAATAAGGTTGTATTATATAAATATTCTAGAATTCTGAAAGTATTTACATGTGATTTTTTTCATTGTATGGCTTAACTTTAGCCATTTGTCAACACAGATGGAACTTTTAGGTTTGAGCTTTTCTTTATGCCAAATCTTAACGTTATTACATTAAGTAGCAAACACAATAAAGCACAATGGTTGAGAATATCTCCTAACACTCTTCCATGAAATCAGAGAATAGCTATCAAAATTCCTTTTGGCATCAAAATTTCACAATTAGGGAGTTCTGGCCTAGACGGAGGAGTAGGTGGAAACGCTTCACTTCCTCGCACAACCGAAAGAAAAATAACAACCAATTTAAAAACAATAAATAACCAGAAGTGCAAGAAAATCAAACTGCATGGAACTCCGACAACCAAGGCATTAAAGAAACATTCATCCAGGCTGGTAAGAGGGGCGGAGACAGGAGATTGGCAGCCAAAGGGAGAGCACAAGTAGCAAAGCCCCAGACTACCCAGGTGACTCGGGGCTGGCTGAATGGGAGACTAAGACTCAAGGTAGCTGTAAAATACTGAGGGGGTTGCCATGGTAGGAGACTCTCCTAGTCTCACAGGAGGGTTTGTTGGAAAGTAGGGCTAGAGCAGAGCAATCGAGCAGCATTCTTCCCTTTCTGATCCCACCCCCACAGAGAGTGCCACTATGCAGCAGAGAGGGTTGCCCTGCTCTGGTGAATACCTAAGACTCCACCTCCTTACAACACAACAGGTGCACCGAGACAAAGAAATATGACCCAAATGAAAGAACAGATCAAAACGCCAGAGAAGGAGCTAAGGAACAAGGAGATAGACAACTTATCTGATGCCCAGTTCAAAACACTGGTAATCAGGATGCTCACAGAACTGATTGAGATTGGCTGCAAAATGAAGGAAGAAATGAAGGCTACTCAAGATGACATAAAACAAAATATACAGGGAACCAACAGTGAAGGGAAGGCAACCAGGACTCAAGTCAACAATCTGGAACAAAAGGAAGAAATAAACATTCAACTGGAACAGAATGAAGAAACAAGAATTCTGAAAAAATGAGGAGTGGCTTAGGAACCTCAGGGACAACTTTGAACACTCTATCATCCAAATCATAGGGCTGCGAGGAGGAGGAGAACAACAGCAAGAAATTGAAAACTTATTTGAAAACATAATGAAGGAGAACTTCCCCAATCTGCCAAAGGAAATAGACTTCCAGGAAGTCCAGGATGATCAGAGAGTCCCAAAGAAATTGTACCCAAGGAGGAACACACCAAGGCACATCATTCTTAAGTTACCCAAGATTAAAGATAAAGAGAGAATCTTCAAAGCAGCAAGAGTAAAGGACACAGTTACCTACAAAGGAGTTCCCATAAAGCTATCAGCTAATTTCTCCAAAGAAACCTTACAGGCAAGAAGAGGCTGGAAAGAAGTATTTGAACTCATGAAAGGCAAAGATCTACATCCAAGATTACTCTATCCATCAAAGCTATCATTTAGAATGGAAGGACAGATGAAATGCTTCCCAGATAAGGTCAAGATAAAGGAGTTCATCATCACCACACCCTTATAACAGGAAATGTTAAAGGGAACTATCTAAGAAATAGAAGAAGATCAAAAATATGAACAATATAATGACAACAAACTCACAACTATCAACAACCAAATCTAAAAAAAACACAAAAAACAGAAACTAACCAAACAACTAGAACAGGAACAGAACCAGAGAAAAGGAGATCACATGGATGGTTATCAGTGGGGGGGGGGGGGAGAAGGGAAGAATAGGGGGGAAAGGTACAGGGAATAAGAATAATTTGTACACATAAAATAGACAGGGAGAGGTTAAGAATGGTATAGGAAACAGAGAAGCCAAAGAACTTATATGTACAACCCATGGGCATGAACTAAGGTGAGAAGGTAGATGCTGGAGGGTGGGAGGGTACAGCATGGATGGGTGATAAAGGGGAGAAAAAATTGGGACAACTGTAACAGCATAATTAATGAAATATATTAAAAATTAAAATTTAAAAAATTCACAATTACCTTTCATTTTTATTCTCCATGATTTTTCCCATAATTGTCATAAATTAAATTTTCAAGAAAACTAGACCACTATAAAACTTAGTAATCACACACTCTTTTCAGTAGTGGATTAATAAACTAGATATGTTGAGTGAGGTAGGGGAGAACATGTAAAGTGATAATTACAGTAAAATCTTTTATGTGCTATTAAGATTATGAACAAAATTCCAAGGAGGAATCAATTAGCTAATTTTGACTTGGAGACTCAAGAATAGCTCTGTAAGGAAGTGACATTTGAGTTGAGTCCTAAAGAATGCATAAGCATTTGCCAGCTTTAGAAGGAAGGGAAAGAAATTCAGGCAGAATAAGCAGCATGGCAAAGAGAGGGTGCACCAAGTTCTGGAACAATGAGTTCAGTCAATACGAGATACACAGTGAATGGGGAAGGTGTGAGGGAACAGAGTTAGTGGACAAAAAACAGGCTGATAAAATAGTAGGATTAGATTGTGAGGAGTGTATTATACTACCAAGAGGGGTCTGTGCACTCTCTGATCTATTTACTTAAGAATAAAACTCTAGGGACCTTGGGAGGCTAAGCTGTAGGAAGAAACCTTAGTGTTAAGCAGGTTACAGTTAACCAGTACAATGTAACACTTTAGTAAAAGTGTTTATTCTTATTTCATAGGAATATTCTTCCAACTGATGATAACTTTTACATCAGACTATAATTTTGTCCCTCCAGTTGTGGCATGTAGAACCATTTCTTTTCACCCAAATGGTAAGGACCAGATGAGACTTTTATCATCAGGGGCCCTATTATCCTTGTTCTGCATCAGTGTTTAATGATGTTTCTTTTTAACAACTTAGTTATGATTATAAAAGTAAGCATGCTTATTGGGAAAAATAAAAAAATAGTATCACTTGAATCCTAATTCAAGGAGACACTACTCTCAACATTCAGCTAAATTTATTTCCTTTTTCAATATAGTTGTAGTATTACATATAAAGTTTTACTTAGTATTACATAGGCTTATAGCTGCATTATTAAACATTCTTTAAAAGATCATTTTTAATTACTGAATGATAAACTTTACCATTCTTGTATTGTTTGATATTTTAGTTAGACTAATTTCTAATGTTATAAAATATGATATCCTGACAAATTAACATTTTAGATAAAAATAAGTTAGATTGCTACTTTAAGTTATATACAGAATATATTTTTGATTCATGAAAAAATTTAAATTTTAAATGCTAAAAAAAGGAAAATTCAGCAGAACTTTTTATGGGCTTAGTGAGGAAGGCCTTTCTAACCATGATAAAACCTAAAAAGCATGGAAAAAGCATAACACATTAAAATACATAAACTTTTCAAAACTTCTCTACAGTCAATGATATAAACAGAGGCAAAATACATTGATTTGCAAACTGAGAGAAAATATCTGCAACACAAAACTGAATATCTATGATATATAAAGAGTACTTGTGATCAACAAGAAAAACAATATACAGCAATAGAAAAATAAACAGACTATAAACAAACACTTGATAGAGGAAACATAAAAATAAATATAAAAATATGTTTAATCTCATAAGTAAGAAGATAGTGCATATTAAAACTGCATATAAAATGCATAAAATTATGATTCATCACTTATGTTTGTAGAATATTAAAATAACATTTTTATTAGAGGTGGGAAAATATGGGTACTATAGCATGATGTTCTTAGGGGGAAGGGCCTTTTGGGGAAGCAATTTTACAGTTTCTAATCAGATATAAAATGCAATAGCCCTAAATCCCTCTAATACCATGTTTATAAATTACTCGTAAGAATACATTTTTTAATTGTACATTCTTTTTTAAGAATACATGTTATTTGATCCCAATAACAATAGATAAAAGGAAATAATTCCAATATTCATTAGTTTATAAAATTTTAAGTGAAATATTCTATAGCTTTACATATATTGCTCTTAAACAGAACAAGCAAGATCTACTCTCTGGAAATGCAAGGAGTGAAGAAGGACAGGGGATACACATACCTTTCCCTATTTTTTAATTACTCTACTTAATCCACTAATTCCCTGGATTAAAGTGTTTATTTTAAGCAAATAATGGCAAATATATACAACTAATTTTGTATCATAAATTTTATTTTATTCTTTAAAAATAGGTCTTAATTACAAACATAATAAGGCACTTGAATAAAATTACATAAAATTATATAAAGTAAAATCAGGATCAAGACAAGGATGCCCACTCTTGGCACTTTATTCAAAATTGTATTGAAAGTTCTATCCAAAGCAATTAGGTAAGAAAACAAATAAAAAACATTCAAATTGGGAAAAAAGAAGTAAAACTATCACTTACAGATAACATAATATTGTTTATAGAAAATATTAGTAAATGCTCCCTTCAAAAACTGTTGGAACTAACAAACAAGTTTGGTAAAGTTGCAGAACACTAAATCAATACACAAAAATGTGTTGCATTTTTATGCATTAATAAAGAGGAGGAGGATATATGGGAAAACTTGTGATTGCTCTTTTTTCTCTCCCTTATCTAACTGGGGGGGGGGGATATAAGAAAGAATTGCACACTTGTGGCTCAGTACTTCCTCAAAGTTTTTTTATTACTAAGCCTGCCCTTAGAATGGGTTCAGTCTCTATTTTATCAGACAGGAAACCAAGGGGGTCCTCCAGTTGAGGGATTAAGTTCAAATCAGGAAGGCTTTCATAGAGCTTGATTAAAGCATTGATCTGCATTCTTTATTTCAGTCTTTCATAAAGTCAGTATTTTTACTTGCATCTTTTGATACTCTGGTCTATTTTATTATATACAAACCTTGGAGAAGAGGGGTGTTATTTATTAGACACCACAAACCAAAAACTGACTCTGTATAAGTCTTTAAAGACTTATATGTCTTTATTTTAGATACATAAAACCTAATTGCCTTTCAGTGATGATATTTCCAATCCTACAAGGAAATGTACATAAAGTTCTCATTTACTGCTCTCCAATTCTGGGCATTAAAACTTTGGAGAAATCATTTTCACCAGTTTAGTAAGAATCTTTCTGTTATTTTAATTTTTTAAAATATTTATTTTTTAGAGAGGAAAGGGAGGAAGAAAGAGAGGGAGAGAAACATTAATGTGTGCTTGCCTCTCATATGTCCCTCTGTCCCAGGGAATCTGGCCCCAAACCCAGGCATGTACCCAGACTGTAAATCGAACCAGCAACCCTTTGATTTGCAGGCTGGTGCTCAATCCACTGAGCCACACCAGCCAGGGTAGAATCTGTTATTTTAATATGTACTTTTTTGAATACTTGTGAGTCTAACATCATTTTTCATATTTCTTGATTGTGCTTTTTTGTGAACTGTAGGGTTATTAATAATGTCACCACATTGTCCTAGATGTTGCAACTATTTTTTCATTGGTCATTATTTTTTAAGTTTTGCTGATTTTCTTTACATCTGGAATTTTAAAATTTTTATATAGTCATATTTATTAGTCTTGTCCTTTGAGATTTTTATAGTTATCTTTAAGTTTAAATGATCTTCCCTCAAAACACAAATTATTTTAACTTTCTTCTATTTGTTCTATATATTTTTTCATATTTAACTCTGTTCTTTTTTTAAAAAATACAGCCAAGCTTCTCTATATCTTTCCAATCTATATACAATAGCGCAAAGCTGACGGGGTGGGGGGGTTTGCCATTTTCAACATATGGCTTCTATTTCTGGATCTGCATTTACTGCTTGTCATCATTTTCAGGCAGTGAGAAGGGGGAAAGAAAAAGAGGGCAAAACAACTTCCTTAAGAAAATATCCAGAAGTTGTATATTTTACTTCTGCTGATATCCCATGATCAACACTTAGTCACATGGCTTCTTGCTAGAGAGGCTTGGGAAAATGGTCTGGGAAACCCTGTATCCATCTAAACAGCATAGGGTGATGGGAACTGGGGACAGGTGTGGTCTCATTACAGCCAGAAGAAATGGAAGAAAGGAAGAGCAGACATTGAGGGACAATGAGTGTTTTGCAGCAACATATTTTATACCATTTTTTATCATCTTTTCTTTCACCACTGAATCATAATTTCACTTTTACCATAAAACAGTTTTAATATATGCTAGAATTTGTTTCCAAACTCTCTTATTACATTGTTCCATCTAATCTCATGCCCCACTGCACTGTTATAATTGTTGTGGTTTTACAATGCAATGTAATATATTAAAGTTCCCTCTTTCACCTTTTCAAAAATTTTTTCTCAGTTTTCACCTTTTTATAATAAGATTTTTATATTGGCGTATAATTGTTTATCTTGTTCATTTATAAAAATTATTTACACATTAGTAAAGTAAAAGTATCATTAATAATGGTGGCTATTATGTTTTGAGAACTCACTATCTACCAAGTACTCTACTGAGTACTTCATTCATTCTTTACAGTGAAGGTGGGTACTTTGATTTCATCTATATCTTACATATTGGGAAAGCGGGCTTATCAAGATGCACTGCTCATTGCACATGCAGTCAGTGTCCAAATCTGTGTGTCTGACACGAAAGTGCCTGCGCCTAACAACTACACTGTATTAACTGTCCTAGTCCTTGCAAATGATTTTTCTGCTTTGTCATTTGCTTTCTAATTTTACCTATTATATTTTTATGTTAATGAGCTCTAAATGATGATTTTATTATATATCACACTTAATATATTATTTTAATACAGTAGACCAACATACTGGTCAACCCTTATAGATATTTTGGGCAATCTTCATAAGTGGAACACAAACTATACATTGAGCAGCATCTTACTTACCCTCTAGGTAAGAAGAGATTAATATAAATGCCCTCTTTAATAGTCTTAATTTATCAGTTATTCAAAATATTAAAAATAAAATATATAATGTATATTTAAATTTTGAAAGACTGACATAAGCTTCTTTAAATCAATAACATTTCCATATCAAGACTATTAAAAATGGAACTTGAATTATAAAGACTATTACTTTAAAGCGAAATTGTTCATTAAGGCCCTTCACCACCAAAGAATACATATTTTATGAAAGAAAAAAAGAACTGCTTGGATGGTTTTAACTTTAGAAATAGAATCTTAACTTTTCTTTCTGTTCCCAACTTCATTTCATATCACTGAAGAGGCCTTTTAGAGTGTTCTTCATTCACGAACTTTTCCTCCACAGAAATAAGTCAAGTGACCACCACTTGCAAGTGGTAGTTCAGCTTTACCCTTTGTTTCTGACAGTGCTAGCAACTTGCTCTTTTACACTCTTTCAGATCAAATTGAGCCAACAATTAAACCAGAGATCTTCTTCTCCCTTTGGATAGATGCCTCTTTCTAAAATGCCCCCTTTCCTTCTTGGACCCATGGTCTTCAGAAACAGGCCTCAGGGTTGTCGTTCTTGACCCTCAGTGAGCTCCCTTTCTCATCCACACCAAAGTGAGTGAGTTCCATGTCTTTTGCTTTGACCACTCACATCCAGCTCAGTGGTATTCTTCATGGACTCACTCATTATTAACATCCAGAGGTAAACTATGACATTTTGCTTACCCGAAATACTTAGAGAATAAAGTATTATGGCCTATTTGATTTTTTTCTATAGTAGAATTATAATATAAATTTCATTTCTCCCATTTCTAATTTTTAAATAAAATAATAGTTTTCTGTCTAGTTATCTTAGCATACTGAGTAAAGTTTAATCTTTTTAAAGATTCAATCAGTGATTCACTCATTCATTCATTCACTCATTCAACAAATATGTTTTGAGCATCTACCTGTGCCAGGCCATATTCTGGGAGTGACATTTGAATAAAAACTTAAGGAAGTAAGTAGAGCATGATATGCAGATAACTAGGGTTGATTTTTTTGAATTTCTTCAAAGTGAATTGTTCCCACCTAACTTTTCCACCTAAATGAAGATCTGCCTTAAGAAAAGAAAGTTAATAACAAGGGTGAGGGGGTGGGATTGGAAACAGGAGGGAAGTGGGGAGGGGTGGGGGGGAAAGGCAGAAAACTGTACTTGAACAACAATAAAAAAAGTTTAAAAAAAAAGACAAGAAAGTTGAATGGTCCCAAAAATGTAATGAGTGAGGACAAGCCACAATGAAATGGTAAAATTTTTGACTTGCTGAGTGATTTAATAAAAGGTAAATTTGAGGCTCTGAGATTAGATTGGCTTCACATTGTGGTTGTATCACTTCACACCTTTATACCATTGGCAAAGTTTCTTCACCTCTGAATACCTCTATTTCTTCATCAGTAAAATGGATCTTTAGTAGCTACCTCATAGATTTGTGAGGATAATATGAATTAATACACGTAAAATACTTGGAAATATTCAGTCTAAGAAAATAACTCAATAAAAGCTAGTTAATATTATGATTGCTCTTATTTTTAGGCAGTAATGCAAAATGACAACAAAGTGTTGTCATGGAAACACATCAGGGGAAACCAGTAGATGACAAAATCATTTGTCTTTTTATTTTTCAAACAGATTTATAAATCAGACATGCCCACATTACAGGACAGTAGAAGAGAAAATCACTGATAGTTATAAGGGAAAACCCTAATCCTACTGTTCCTAGGCCTTTCTTCTGATCTTTTCTCCTATTTTCTGTTTAAAATCTTGCGGCTTCAGCCACTACAGGGTTAAGCCCCCCGTCTGTTCCCTGACAAATGATTTACTTCTCCTCACACCTGGGCTTTAACATACCGTGCAGTCCCACTCCTATTATAGCTTCATGCTTTTCTTCACTCACAGTGCTCGGTTCAGTTCAGATTTAAAAGCATTTGTGGAGTTCTAACCTCTAAAGTTACAAACTCAAGCAAGTCTTGGCCCTTGAAAAGTGCTGAAGGCCAGTTTTCTCACGGACAACTGGTTTGCTCCTCTCCTCTTCCTCAGCCTGTCTGGCAAGCAGTGCTCACATTACAAAGTCAGATCAAATAAGTGCTCTTTCTTCTGCAATCCCTTTCTTGATTTCCTCTCCTAGGTGGGATTGATGGCTTTGTTTTTTGAGAGGCTTCCTTTGCTCCTTATTGAGCAGCACCCTAAGCAAATTGCTATCAGAGCTCTGTAGTACTGCTTCCTTATTCAAGCTCCTCAGGTCAGGGAACAGGTCTGATTCACCTTTGAACTCCTCCCCACCCCCGACAGTATTGACATTTAGTCAGTACTAAGTAGCATGAATAACTGAATGAACCCCAATTTTTATGTTGGTGCAATTATGGCATATATGTATAAATTATATAGCCTGTTTCTTTTCACTTAACATTTTATCTCAAATATTTATACATTGTTACAGTTAATATTGTAATGGCTATTTAATAGTTTTTTTCAAGGCCAGCGTGGCCCCATAGAACTTCCTGCACTAACGGAAATGTCCATTGTCAGAGCTGTCCAGTACAGTCATCACTAGTCACACGCGTCTACGGAGCACTTGAAATGTGGCTGGTGTAACTAAGCTTTTCATTTTATTTAAAGCCATTTAAATTTAAATCACTACATATGGCTAGAAAGTACTGTAAAGGACAGTACAAGTATAGGCCATAATTTCTCATCACTTCCCTATGAATAACAGATGAAATACATTTATAATTATCACATTGTTATTCAAGGGAGTGACATTTGAAATAGTGTTTAAAATATTTTAATATCCAAAGAGAGTGACCATCTAAATTTTTAATAATCTTAATTTTTGAATGCTTCTTTATATAATGCAAAGGTAAACATCAACACCTATCCACAGAATGAATTTCTTTGCTTTAATTAATTGGATATCATAAAACATGCATACTGGTGCAGTTGTTTTGTGATGCTTCAAATTTTTGTACTTATCCTCAACAGAGCTTCCTGTGATATTTTATACTATCAAATGGCTAATTTAAAAGTTGACCTTTTTTTTTTTTTTTACTAGTTTAGCAGGGCTTCTGATTTATACATTTTAATATATTCCTTATATTCTAGTTCTTAGAAATCCTTAAATAGACTTAGTAGCATGTGTACACATTATACAAAAAGGTCTTAGGCACAGTGTCAATGTGAGGACTATTGAATAAACTTTACCAGATGTTTTTCTCTGAATAAAACTATCTTTCCAGCCAAAGACTAAAAGTTTGCTCTAGAAGATAAGTTTCATCTGCTTCCCACCCACTTTGGAAGGTATAGTGCAATCCACATTGAATACTTATTTAAGCAAGTATAATATTCTTGGAAATGTAGCTCGAATGTGTTTTACAAATAGGAAAACTCAGATATCAATAGCAAAAAATTCTTATTGCTTTTGAAATATCAGATATCAGGTTATTGCTTTCATTAGTGAAAGATTGCCATCATTTCCATGACTGTTAAATGCAACAATCCACTTTGACCTGCATCTACACTTAGTATTTGTTATTATTTTGGCTATATTTTTACTACATAGTTTCCATGTTATAATATAATATTCAAAATACTGAACTCTCAAATAAATATTTGCCATTTAGGCTAATGTCAGTTTTGAGGTGTCAGATAAACAAGATCATGGTCTAGAAGAACTGTTAACTTTTGGTTACTGCTGGTCCCCTATTTTGTCCAGAAGCACATATGTTATGGTAGAATTTTGAAGATGTCCCCTTAGTCTCTTATCTTCTGATAATGCAGTCAAACACTAATCCTGATAGCCCTGTGAAAGGACTTTGCAGATGGGTTTTAGGTTATTAATCAACTGACCTTAACATTGGAACATTATCATGAATTATGCAGAGGGGCCCAAAGTAATCACATGAACCCTTAACAATAGAAGAGAAAAGCAGAAGAGTCACTCAGATAAATACAGTGGAAGAAGGAGAAGGGATGTGGCAAGAGGGCACGTCTTAGAGATTCCAAGCATTAGAAGGATTTTTCACACCTATACTGCGTCTGAGATATAAGGGTCCAAGTAAGGGTGTGCGTGGGACCTCTTAGAGCTAAGGGTGACGCCGCTCCCCCGCCCACCCAGCTAACAGCCAGCAAAGAAACAGGGATCTCGGTCCTATAAATGCAAGGAACAGAATTCAGCTAACAAACAACCTGGGTGAGCGTGGAAGCAGAGTCCTCCAGAACCTCTGATAAGAGTTCACCTTGATTTCATCTTATTATGTGTGGGAAAGGGAAACCAGCCCCATCCTCTCAGATTTCCCACCTGAAGACATGTAAGATAATAAATTTGTGTTGTTTTAAGCTACTACCTTTATGCTACTTTGTTATAGTAGCAACTATAGTATTCTTGGAAATGTAGCCCAAACTACTACAGGTCCCAAATTAATCATTTGATGATCTAGAAGGATAATGAAATATATACAAGCCTTAGTACATGAGTGTGTTTTATCTGTGATCTAAATATAATCTCATGTTTAAATCTAAGGTTTTATTTTTAGAGGAAATATTTCAATGTTTCCTAATATTCAGTTCCCTTTACATATAAATTTAATTTAAATTTATGTGATAGAAAAAAGTTGTAGAAAGGAACTTACAAGTTGCTTTGATCCTAATGTTTGGCTCATGAATATACGATATAAAACCAAGATCAAATTCAATAAATGGTGCTTGAAAAGTTGGAAAGATGTATGCAAAAAAAATGAAAACTTTTATACCATATAGAAAAATAAACTCAAGTGATTAAAGACTAAAATGTAAAACACAAAACTATAAAACTCCTAGAAGGAAACATAGGCATAAAATCTCTGACATTTCTCTTAGCAATATTTTTTTCTACTATATGTCCTCAGGCAAGGGAAACAGATGAAAATAAAGTAATGGGACTGTATCAAACTAAAAAGTTTTGCCAAGGGAATCATCAGCAAATGAAAAGACAACCCACAGAATGGGAGAACATGTTTGACAATGATACATCTGATAAATGAGGGGTTGATGTCCAAAATTTATAAAGACCTTATAAAAGTCAACACCAAAAAACCCCAAACAATCTAATTAAAAAATGGGTAGAGGATCTAAATAGACACTTTTCCAAAAAGGACATACAGATGGCCAATAGACATGAAAAGACACTCAAGGTTACTAATCATCAGAGAAATGCAAATTAAAAGCCACAAGAAACTATCACCTCATACCTGTCAAGAATGGCTGTCATCAATAAATCCACAAACTAGAAGTGATGGCCAGGATGTGGAGAAAAAGGAACCCTCGTGTACTGTTGGTGGGATTGCAGATTGGTGCAGCCACTGTGGAAAGCAGTATGGAGTTTCCTCAAAAAGTTAAAAATGTAACTGCCTTATTACCCAGAGATTTCACTTCTGAGTATATGTTTGAAGAAACCCAAATGCTAATTTGAAAAAATATATGCACCCCTATTTTCATGGCAGCATTATTTACAATAGCCAAGCTATGGAAGCGACCCAAGTATTCATCAATAGATAATTGAATAAAGAAGAGGTAAAGAATGAAATCTTACTATTTGCAACAGCATTTATGGGCTAGAGGGTATTATGCTAAGCAAAATCAGCCAGAGAAAGACAAATACCATATACTGAATTTAAAAAACAAAATAAATGAACAGACAAAACAAACAATCTCATAGGTATAGAAAACAAACTGATGGTAGCCACAGGGGAGGAGGGTTGGAGGACTGGGTGAAAAAGGTGAAGGGATTAAAAGTACAAGTTGGTAGTTACAGAGTAGTCAGGGGGTGTAAGGTAAAGCATAAAGAATGTTGGCAACAATATTGTAGTAACTATGTACGGTGCCTTGAAATCTGAGGGGATCAATTTATATATTATATTATTGACCACTATGCAATACGCCTGAAACTAATATAAAATGTAGAATGTCAACTGTAGTTTAAATATAAAACTAATCAAAAACCAAGATCAAGAGTTTCTTAAGAGTGGGGACTCTGTCTCATTTGTGTTTGTATCTATTTCCAGGTAGATATCTCATAGGCATTTAATAAATGCATTTTGGTTGTTGTATGTATTGGTTTACCTTTTTGCTTTAAGAAAAAGTTTACTTTAAAAAAAACGATGTTCTTAATTTTTTTCTTAAAGGTTATGCTTTCTAATCCAGTGCTAGAAAATCTAGTGAATTTGGAAGTAGCCCAAATATTGAATAAGAATGAATCTGTGTACAGAGTAATGGTTCAAAGACCTTTCCACAAACCATTACAATGTAAGAAATACCTACTTATTGTTATTTTCCAATGATTAATTATATGCTTATAGCAAATAAGTGATCTAGCAAATAACTATTATATAAGGAAATATTTTCTGTACCCTTTCTCAGTAAAGAAATTGTGCTAAGATCTCTCCTACTGTACTTCTTTATCAAGACAGTGTGCTCTTCTTTAAAGATTATAAAAGATCATTAAGCTTAATATCTTTAAATGTTAGGGCCCTACAGATGGATGGTGCAATTGAAACTATTCTATTCATTATAAAGATGTGACATTTAATTTTAACTCTTTGATCTATAATGGATATTTCCCAGATTTTGCCTGCCGTACCCCAGATCTTAATGATTTGGGACTCCTTTTCTCCTGATTAGCAAAATGATCAGCATTTTTTTTTCCTGTAGAGCCTTCCTTTTCCCCAGGTATTCCCTCTAAGTGTCCAAATGGAAATGACATCTGAGGCTCTTCAGGCTTTCTCTCTATTGACAGGTGTGTTTCTGATACCTTGGTTTGCTCACTCTCATGCTGCCGGGGACCTCTGTATGACACTCAACTCCATCACTTTCTTTGTTCCTGTCTTTCTCTGCAGTGAGCAGAACAATACTGTTGGCTCCTTATGCCAGAAAGGTGTGTTACAAGTGAGGGTGGGGCCCCTAGTGACCTAGTTATTTCCTTTCTATCCTGCTTCTCCTCTTGCCACAGTGCACAGAAGCCTGCACAATAGCTGGTATTATGATTACCTCTTTAGTCAGCAGGCCTTGCTGTTCAAATTCATGTTACTGTTCAAACTGATCTCTCATGCGCTTTCTCTCCCAGACGTTCACCTCTCTTTTTCTATTCCTCTTCTAGAACCAACTAGTCCATCAGCTAGAGCTCTACAATGGGAACCAAGTTCAAGTGCTCCTCCACAGGGCTTATGGGTCTGATGCAAATCAAGCAGTATTGATCAGGCATCTGATGTGGCCACCGGCCTGCAGTGTTTTTGGCACTGTGGCTGAGACGAGACAAATTCACATGGACTACTGAGTCCTGTGGAGGAAAAGAAGGGACTGTACGGCCGCTATCTCAAGAGAAGAGTGTCCAACCCTTGCCTTGACAAGATTTTATTGCTTTTCTGGGCATACTACATTGAGGATAGTCCTTATTTACTATGCACAGGTTCACTTTAGGTGGTTACCTTTTACAGAAAACAAAGGAGATGATGTTGCTAATTACATCAAAAAAAGAAGGATATTTGCAAATATAAAGGGGAAAATGGTTGAACTGGTTACACTCATCCTTGGAAGGTTTAGCACAGATTTTAGGAAGTTACTTTAAAGATATGCAGTAAACGTTTGCTGCCTCAATTCAGGGTGAGGGAGTTTTAGCAAAAAGTGAATCTCAAAGCAGCCTAAGTAAAATGCAGGCCTGATTCCTCACGGGAGAACCTATCTGTGGGTGTGGGTCCTGTGTACTGGACCTCGCTTTCCACTGGCCTTTTTGAGTGAGAGCTGGGCCCATGGCATGCAGAACAGTTTCCTATAGGCATCTTCTTCAGTGTCTTCAAACATGTCATGGTTGCCATGGGGTTCCTCAAATGTCCCCTGACAGTTTTAAGGCTGGTTTGTACACAGAGGAGTCATATTGCTTCACTCTGACCATATATGTAACCTACCAGAATTCTGGAGCATCCCCTGCTTGTATGCTCTGCACTCAGCAGTTATTTGTGGAATGAACGAATGAATAATAATATCACTTAACCTTTCACTGAACCCTACAGGACTATCATTATAATGGAAGGTTCTATAACAAAGCTATGCCCCATTCTGGTAAATGGACATCTAAAAGCTTGTTTTAAAGAATTTCTTACAGCAGATGATTCTGTGCAATAGATTTTATGTTTGCCCTGCAGAGAGAAAGGATGAGAAGAAAACTGAAGAAAAATTGGCCCTCCCTTTGGTCCTCCTGTTCAGCCTTCACTCCTTTCACTTCTGAAACTTTGCCATCAAACCACACAGAAAAGCTAACCAAATGGCAAAATCACCCAGAAAATGAGCAACAAAACAGATACTACTTCAGCAGGGTTTAGCTACACTCTTTAGTTACATTGGTGAAACGTGGAAATCCGAGACAGTATATAGTTATCAGCTCACTTGCCATCTCGGGTAGGCTAGGTGTTCTAGCCAAGGGTACCACAAGAGAAGGACTTTCTGTAGCTTCATAGGGAGAGAGTGCTATGGCACAGTGCAGAGAGCCGCTATGGGTGAGAAATGAAAACATGCAGAAAACTCATTCACTCTAAAATAGATGGTAGTGGAGCACTATGTGGATTTCTGTAAAAGACTGCATCCAGTGAGAATTACCTGCAACAGCCTGAAAAAAGGTCTCTACTATAGTGCTGCAAGAATCATCTCTCATACATAATATGCTAATAAATAGATCTAGAAAATGCCTAGCAATAATTATATGTTTAGACACTCAAAACTGGGACTGATAGTTAATTGTATAAGTAAGAAACTTAAGAGGCAGCTAATTGTATCATTTTTGTAGTCATCAATTGTAGCCTAGAAGTATATCCTCAGCACCTGATACAGTGTATGGTTGTAGGTATTAAATAAAAATTTTTAGAATGAGAAAATGAAAAAATGTACATGAACTTAGATTCTGGTTTTATTTTATAGTAGCAAAGTGCTTTCATACACGTTCACTCACCTGACCATCAGCCTCTCCCTCAGGGAGGAAGCCAAGGATTAATGATGAACCCCAAAGCCACAGCTCCAACCTGGGCCTGCCCACATCCCCGGCACCTCCAAGTTTAATGGGATGAGCATAAAGTCATTCATTTAGAATCAAAGAATTAAAATTTCTGAGTACAGAATGGAAGAGTGGAAGAGAACTGACTTGATAGCAGAACTCTCTTCTATGAAAAAATTATTGGGCAGTTTTTTAAGCACAAGCTTAATATGAACCAATAAAAGGAGGTGCCCTTCTACTAAGTATGTTTTAGATGATCATTTTACCCTACTCTCTTCTCCGAGGTTCCAGAAAACTAAAGACTAACGTCAAAGCTGTGGATCAGTCATACCTTCCTGAGACCTTCAGGAGTGTAGTCACGGAAGACTGGAATATGCAGTTGGGCCTGCCCTGTCCCAGAGCACGCCTTGACTGACCCTGAGGGCTCCTTCCTGATAGTCAGTGGTGCAAAACTAATTTCAAAGCCCAAGCCAGACATGCAAATGCCTCTTATACCCCAAACTTTCCCTAACATGTTGTCTGCCTCCCCTGAACACCTACTCCTTTGCCTTAGTATATTGACAAGAGCACACCAAGGCCTGAGCTCCAACCCAATTAATTGGTGTAGGTTCCAATGACCTTCCCATATCCTGACAGCCTCTTCTGCGGCCTGGAGCCAGTGTCCCTTACTTGCGGGTAGGGTGCGCAAATACACCAAACTGCCTTAGACAGTTCCGCTATAGTTATTTCTAGTGTCTGTGTTCCAGTTTAGACAATAAATTATATAGTCACCTGAGTGCCTACCTGGTCTTTCTTAGAAGCAAATGTCACCATAGCTTACCACTTCAGGCCCCAGCTGGCCAAACACCAGGAGGAATTCTCTAACAATCCAAGTTGCCTAACAGTGTTTAAGGCCACATTGCCAAGTATTAAAACGCCCTTTCACTAAAGGTATGAGGTCTGTCCAGAAGGTACCCAGCCATGTTCTATGAAAAACAGACATTTACTAAAGAAGACACGAGGTACAAGAAACATTGTACATAGGACAGTGACACCTCAGTCCCCTTCAAAGTGGACACCTTGGGACTCATATAGTTCTCCCAATCACCATCAGCTGCCCCATCATATTTCCCTGAATCTCATTGACAGTCTGAAATTGCTTCCCTTTTAAAGGTGATTTTAGCTTTGAGAAATGCCAGAAATCTCAGGGCACCAAATCTGGGCTGTAGGGGGGGCTGAGTCACCTGGGTGATTTGATGTTTCACCAAAAAAGTCTGCACAAGATAGGATACATGAGTGGGCACATTGTCATGATGAAGTTGCCAATCCCCAGTTGCCCATAGCTGCAGCCTTCTGAATCATCCAAATAGTTTCTGTGGAGGAATGTGCAAGCCTAATGCAAAATTGGATGCAGATTCATTGCTCTACTTGCTCAGTCATCTTGAGTGTGACAGCCACACAGTACACAGGCTCACTCAATGGCATCTACTGCCCCCACTGACTAGTACAGTGAAGTCATCATTGTTCACATATATGCATTCCAGTCCACTCTCCTTGTCTTCCAGGTTACATCAATGTCATGCAAACCCTTGCAACATTAACAATGACTGGAATTTTTCCAGAGAAGCCTTGTTGTATGTTTTTATAACTGGAGTTCGTTTAGTAAAATTTAATGACTATTTTTTAGGGATGTTGTCAAAGAGCTTCTTGCTCAATGTCCAGTTTTGGACAACGGAATTTTTCAAGTATCTTCCAATCTCTACCTTAATTTGTTTATGAAACTTCAGGGAGGGAGAAGAAAGGTCTGGAAGGAGATAATATAAAACAATTGTTTTGCCACCCAGATTCTGAGTATTGCTACTTATTTTATAACTTGTTATGAACACATTTTACATTAAGCTCATAAATCCCCCCTTTATTTGCAGTCTGTCTTAGCAAATTTTTATTTCTATGTGGTTATATGGTCAAATAATATTTATCTCCTGTTTATCACATTTCTTTTGATATTTTAAAATATAAAATTCACATGATTTAAAAAAATATTTGGTTGAAAGAGAAAATGAGAGTATAAAAATACTGACAGTAGCCAAGCCTAAGGTACTAGTTTTTCTCTTAGTCAGATATATTCCTGTAGCTTTTGTTAAGTAAACAAAGGTCATGCTAATAAGTTTCAGATACTTATCTAAATAAACTACAATATAATAACTGACAGATATTATAATAGAGTCATAATACAAGAATAGCGAAGAATTATAGAAATATTGGAAGATTGTAGTACTAATTAACACTAAACACTTTTAAAAACCTGATAATTGTGGCAAATACATCTCATTCTTCACATAGTTAGGAAGATGTGATAAGCACTTGATTCTTCTTCAATTCAGGCTCCCATATTCACTGTTTTTTTTTTAAATTCTCCTAACAGTAGAAAAACTTTAAGGAAAATTATTTCCACAGTTGAAGCAGGTACTGTCTTGTAGGGTTCCAGGTATTGATTTATTTTCTTTTTAGAGGGAGTACTCCTTGTGTTGTTGCTATTATGTAATACCCCTTGCACTGGGGGAAATACTTTCTGGATATCAGAAAAAAAAGAAATTTATTGCGGTAGAAATTTAGTTGAAGAACACGACCTTTTGTGCCATCATTCAGCCCTATTTTGTTGCTGATGATTATTACAGTATAGTTACAGCAATCCCATCATTTACAGATGTCAGGAGATACAGAAAACCCAAGTTTAACAGGATTGTGTGTGGGGTTTTATTTGCTGGAATTACAGACCTCTTTTTTTTCCTCTTTGTATTTTATTGCACCAGATAGCCAGCATTTTGACAAAGCCTCTAAATTGTTTGTTTTAACTAAAAATGTTAAGTATTTCTTTTCTATCAAAGAAATATATGTTTATAGATTTAAATGGGCAAATAATAAAAATCAGTTTTTAATAAAATATATCTGACCTTGGCAGCCCATACCTTTCATTGCTGAGTACCTCCCCCATCCCCACAAGTACTAGTAGCTTTCAACACATCTAGCTGTTTCTTCCAGAATTTACCACTATATTTCTAAGTTTATTCTATGCTAATATTCCTGGGGTTTTCAGTCTCAGGTATTGCTAATGGGTGTCTCCTGAACTGTAACGATTCAGCGTTTACACTGCCATTTCCACCTACATTGTCTGTTCCCTATCTTCCTGGTATAGTTTGGTTACATCAATATGACTTAGTGAATTTTGTCACAGAGGAGCCATGAATTATTGTTTTTCCTTTCTTGTACAAATGGCTCAATTTTTTACTCCCTTGTTTGTTTGCACGTACCTGTCACCTGTTCTTCCCCTAAACTTTCTGACAACGCTGTCAAACAGCTTCCAGACGTTCAGTCAGTCAGGTGCATTCCCCTTGGAGACTTGGTTCCCGTGACCCTCCTCTGCCTCCAGTTCTGACCAGGCAGCTCTCTCACAGGCATCCTGCAAAGACCCCTTTGCCTGCCCTTGGGATGGAGCTCCTGCTTGATCCCTTGTGTTTCTTGTGGAGGTTTGCCCCTTCATCTTGTTGGAGCACATCTAAGAGCTTCCAGGTCATGAGATATTAAATATTTAATATTGGAAATAATTAAAATTTTGTTTCAGAATTGAGAAGACCCTGTTGCCTTCTTGTTTCTAGTGTTGCTCTTGAGAAGCCCGATTTCACTGAGAATGGATGTCCAGTTCTTCACATGTGATACATTTTCCTTTTGGAAGCTTTTGAAATCTCTTTATTACCAGTGATCTAAAATTTCTTGATAATATTTCTTAGTGTAGCTTTTTCTTGGGGGGGGTTCCCTTCCTTGTTCATACATAGAGCATTTAATAGGCTGTTTACATCTCATTTTATTTTTTAAATTTTTAGAGAGAGGTGAAGGGATGGAGAAAGAGAAAGAAAGATCAATGTGTGGTTGCCTCTCATGTGCCCCCTACTGGGGACCTGGCCTGCATCCCAGGCATGTGCCTTGACTGGGAATCAAACTAGTGAGCCTTTGCTCTGCAGCCCAGTACTTAATACACTGAGCCACACCAGCCAGGGCTAAATCTTATTCTAAAAACTTTAATCCTTTAATTCTGAATATTTCTCTGATGTAATTCCTTTTATAATTTATTTCCCCTTTTTTTTCTGTTCTTTCTCTTAGATATCCAGATATTTGGATGTGGGATCTACTTGAGCTGACCCTCTAATTTTAAAAGTAAATCTATTTTCTCTTCTATTATCCATCTCTTTGTGAATGATGGACATATGATGCATGGAAAGCAATTGGAAGCATATAAGTACTAACTGGACTTGTTGGTTTTGTTTCATGTCAGTTTTTCAGTGGAGGGTGATACCATTAGTTGTCATCAGTAGGCTTCACTAGTTCCCCTGAGATAAACCCTCCATTTGTTCCTGGAGAGAGATGCTAGCTGCTTATACTCTGGGAGCTGGACAGGGGGAATAGTAGGCATCTTATACACTCAAGATGATTTTCAGTCCTTTCACTACTTTCAGTCCCTTACTGTACTCTTATTCTGCTTTGTTCCTAGTCTCCTCCAGTCTTGAGTCTCTCTGGCTCATTTTCCCCAGAGATTAAACATCCTTCCTCCTACCTGGGCAGTGGTGATCATTTGGTTGCATGGGAAGAGAGTACACATCTTGGGTGACTATGCTGTCTCTCTCACCTTTCACAGATATCTGGTATCTGCAATTTCTGAATCACTTCTCAAATTCTGAAGTGTAAATCTGCTTGCTTTTCTTTGACCTCCCCTCATCATGTGGTTGGGTTTCAAATTTCTACAGCCTGCAAAGACAGTTACCACTGACATCTGCTTTCCATCTTGAAAAATTTTCTTGCCATCTTTCTTTTGCTCTCCTGGAGGTTTTATACCTTATTTTTATTTCTTTATTACCATTTTATTGGGGCTTCAGAAAGAGAGCACATTAAAGCCATGTATTTAATCTTCCAAGTAAACTATATCTTTTCTCTCTTTTTTTTTTACAGTGAAAGGTGATAGCTCTGAGTTATCTAAAGACTCAGATAGATGTATCAGGAAAGTTTTCCTTCATACAATTCTACGTCAATTTATTTATTAAAAGGACTACTTTCTTAAACTATTTACACTGTCTTTCATAATTGAAGTTTTTTTCACTCCGAAAAGGAAGTAGCCATCTTTCACAATACATGTTTAAAATGTCTCCAGGATGAATGTGGAAGATTGTTTAATTCTTTCTAGACCATTGAATTAATCTTGAATGTTACTACATGAACTTGCCTATTCTTTTCATTTTTATTTTTTATAAAAAAATAAAAGAGAAAAGCATGTTGTGAACATAATGAGCACAAACCATTAATTATAGGGAGCAAAAATCTAAGCAATTCAGAAGATAGATATTAGAGGAAAGTGGTGAGAGTTAGGGCCGAAGCCACTGTTAGGAGACAACCTCACAATATTGTACCAGTTCAGTCTTGAACACATGAACGAGGTCAATATTCTCATCATCAGTTCCTTGAGCACTTCCTTCAGCCTTAATATGGCAGCCAATCAGATGTAGAAAACCATCAATTAGCTGGTGTTGAAATACTGTTTACGTCAGCTGAGGTTTCCTTGATTGGCCCTGAAGATGAGTAAAATTAAGTAACCCAAGTGGCTTCTGTATGTAAAACTGTTGAAAAAATTGTAGGAAGATAAGCATGATTTAGTGAGATGGACACTAGTTTAGGATTCAGCAGACAACATTGCTGCCCTTAAACTTGTCAATGTGGAGAGAAGCAAGTGAGCATCCTGGCACGAAATAGACCTGTGATAAACAACTGTTGAATGCATGAACATCCCTGTAAAATATGAACATCCCTAGAATATCACAAAGTTCTTTGTATTTGGGGTATAATTATTTGTAGTACATAAAGGTACAATGCCAGCATTTACTAGTAAGAGGGTAAGAACAGCTTCAGAAGGTCCTCTGAACCAAACCAAGGATACATGACACCAGAGTCAGGCCTGATTTGTGATGTTCACCTAGGGCTTGCCTGAAATCTAGAGAAATCTCCAGAACACAATTGATGCAGTACAATCTGGATTTCAATGATGCCTAAAGTCCCAGCACATATCAGGCTACAATTTGTTAGGTGGCTGTGAATTCTGATATTTACCCTGGTGAATATGGGATAAGGCTCAATTCTGTCTAGCCTTTAGTTTTTACAATAAGAATGTTCACAATGAGGTCTTCTAGAAATTCCAAGGGAGTTCTCTTTGTATTGTCAGACTAGCACCACAGGCTAGAATTTTATCATGAGCTGGAAGAACTGACCTGGCTGTAGAAATGATTCCAGAGGCATAGCTAGGTGATTGAAACCCTGTTTTTGAAGGGCTTAACAAAACTTAGGTGAAGTCCAGTCAACTGGGTAGAAAGAGTATAGTCAGGGGAATCCAGCTGATGTTCAGTAATTGAAGGTGATCTAAGCTTGTGCTGGTCATCTGGGAGGTTTACCCATGGACTGTAAGATATCATTTGATACAATAATGGGCAGCCTCTTGGAGAGCAGCTATTTTTTCACTTATTTAAAATGCATTCACTGAGCATATGTTCTGTGCCAGGTGCTGTGTTACAGCATTGGGATTGCACAACTGAATAATACATGATCTCCAACCTCACAAGATTTATAAGCCAAAATTGGAAACTCTCCTCTGAAGAGGAGACAGTTCTGATGACAAGAGTACAAAATTTGGGGTCTGGGAGAATGATCGAAATATAACTTTAATCAGAACTGACTCAAGCTCTAGCCAGGTAACTCAGTTGGTTAGAGCATCATTTCAACCTGCCAAGGTTGTGCATTCCATCCCTGGTCAGGGCAAATACAGGAATCAATCAATGAATACATAAAAAAGTGGAACAACAAATCTCTCTCTCCCCCCTCCCTGGTCCCCTCTTCCCTTCCCTTTCCTCTCTCCCATCTCCCCCTCCCTCCCCTTCCCAGATCCTAAATTGCATATGAGCATGGTGTTAGTGGACCAGAAAGAAAGCCACCATAGCTGAAACACAGCAAGGGGAAAAGAAGAGAGGGGTAGGCAATGAGGTAGGAGAAGCCAGGAGGGCCATATCATTTAGGCCTTTATAAACTAGGCAAGGAATTTCAATTTGATCAGATTCGCTGTAGGAATTGGGACACAGTTGGACATCTTTAAAGAAGGGAAAGATGCAGTGAGATTTACATCTTAAAAGGACTGTTTTAACTGCTGTGTGGGGGAACAGATTGTGAAGAATCTAAGGTGGAAGCAAGGAGAATTATTAGGTTATTTGAGTAAACCAGGGGAGAGATGATGGTGGTTAGGGCTAGGATTGAGGGCACAGACATTAAGAGGGAGAAAAGTGGATGAATTTAAGGCTTGGTTTGATTAGATGGAGGGTATCAGAGAAAAATGGAATCGAGAATTATTATTAGATTTTGGTTCGAACTGGATGGGTATAACTGTCATTTACTGAGAGGGGGAGATTGGGAGAGCATACCACTGCATAAAACCAACTATCCCAGTTGCTGGCAAGGACACAGAGTCACTGGGGCTCCCCTACATCTCTGTAAATGTTGCATCATTTGACAAGCCCAAAGCCAGTCTGAAAAATAATTTAGCAGTTTCTTACAACATTGAACATTCACCTACCCAGCGATCCGTGATTTTACTCCTAATATTTACCTAAGAGAAATTAAAATGCATATTACAAAAAAGACTTGCACACAAATGTTTATAGGAGCTTTATTTATAATATCCCAAACAGGAAAAAGCTAAAATATCCATCAACAGTTGATTATATAAATAAATTGTGTTATATTCATAAGTGGAATACTACTGGCAATAAAAATGAATGAACTGTTGATAAATGTAAGAACATGGAATGGTAAAGCAGACATTATATTGAGTATATAAAAGAATCCAGAGTAATCAAGGGAGTGTATACCGTATGATTCAATTTGTATGAAATTTTAAGACAGGCAAAGCAAATCTAAAGTGATAGAAATGAGATCAGTGATTGCACTAAGTGTCAAGGGCAATTGGCTGTGAAGGGGAGTAGACAACTTTTTGGAGTAATGAAAATATTCTATATCTTGTTTGGGCTTGGGGTTGTATAGATGTAGTCTTTTGTCAAAAGTCATTCATCTGTGTGCTTGAAATCTGCATTTTACTGAAGGCAAATTATGCTTTAAGTTAATTTTTAAAGAACAGTTAACTATCTTTACAACTCTTTTATAAATCTAAACTTATTACAAAGTAAAACAAGTGTTTAAAAAGGTATTAAAACTTTTTTTCAAAGAATAGAGAAAATGGGTATACTTCTAAACTTCCAAAATCTGATTCTGAAATATGAAATTATTACAAGCAAAAAGATTATAGACCATTATCTCTTGTAGACACAGACACATAAATCTAACCCAAATCTTAGCAAATGGAATCCACTGATGCATGAAAAGTGATAATACCTCATGACTAAGTGGGCTTGATTTCAGGAAAGCCGGTTGGTTAAATTTGAAAATTCAGTGTATCTTACCACATTAACCAAATAAAGGAAAAAAACATAAAATGATCTCAGCAAATCCAGAAAAAAATATTTGCTAAAATTTAACACCCATTCGTGATAAAAAAAAATTATCAGCAAACTAGGAATGGAAGAGAGTTTCTTTATTGCAATAAAGAAAAAAATCTACAAAAGTTCAATAGCCGACCTCAAACTTAAATGTGAACTGTTGAATGCTTTTTCTCTTGAGTTTAGGAACAAGACAAGTATGCCCATCATCACCACTTCGACTTAATACTATACTGGCCAGTGCAATGAAGCCAGAGAAAGAAATAAGTTATAGTATGGAAAGACGGAAGTAAATTATCTTCATTCACAGAAAACAGGATTATTTACATAGGAAAATCCAAATGAATATACAAAACCTAAAGATTAATAAATAAATTCAACAACAGCCCTGGATACAAGATGAACATTAACAAATCAACTAAGTTTTTATATACTAGCCACCAATACATAGAAGGTGAAAATTTAAAAATACCATTAGAACAACAAAATTTAACAAAGATGACTAAGACAACTGTAATGAAGACTGCAAAATAAATCTAAGGGAAATTTTTAAGGACCTGAAAAAAATAGAGATACATAGTGTTTGTGACTGGTAATGAGTCAACATTATTATAATGCCAGTTCTTCCCAAATTAATGAACAGATTCAATTCAATCTCAAAATCTCATCATTTTTTTTCCTGGAAATTAATAAGGTGGTTCTAAAATGTATTTGGAAATACAAAAAATTCAGAATAGCAAGGCAGCCTTGAAGAACAAAAAGATTGACACTCCTAGATATCAAGATGTCCTAGACTGGTAGAATAAATTTTGCTCTGACTGGATCTTTTTTAGGTTCCTATTCCTAAACTAGTCACCGTTGTCAGACAGCTCTAAATTCATCAGGCCCTGACTTGGAGCCAGGTATGAGGTCAATTCCATCAGACTGAATGACATGTACAAAATGGGGGAAGAACAAACTAATTATTTGGAGGGCAACCACAATGTCCACTGTGACAACTTGCACATACATTATAATTTTATTGGATCAGAACCCTGATAAGCAAGAGGTTGACAGCACAGAGAGCAAAGGAGTCTCTAGCTAGAACTGCTTGCCCAGGCACAGAAATGTAATATTACGACATACGCGGGGTCATCAGGAAGTTCCATGTGATAGAGCCTCTGGATGTGCGGATGGATGGTGGAAGTAAAGGTTGGAAACGGCTTGATGATAAAGAACCTGGAGTTATATTTGAGTGTTTAGATTTCATCCTATAGAATTAGATAACCAAACTGTGGTTTTCAAACAGAGGCAGGATGACCTGGAGTAGGGAGATACCGAAATAGAAAAACAATTCAGAAGCTGTTTAGAGTTTGTGGGAGAGAAATGACGAGGTACTTATCTGAGTCAGTTCAGGAGAGCAGCTGAAACTGAGGGCTGAGGGGTGCTAAACCCCCTACATGGCTCTTTCTATGGATGACTTCATTGAATGCTCACAAGAAACACTGGAGAAATTCTATCTCTTAATTTTATAGTTGAGGAAATAGGAGTGAGGGGCTAGGGAGTTGGCCCCAAGTCACACAGCTAATAAGTCACAGTGCCAGAGTATTTACAGTCAGGCCAGGTGATTCCACAGCCTTTACTCCTGATACTACAGGACTCAATATCCAGAGACATGTAAGGATTTAATCATTAGACTTTGTTATGGCTGAGATGTTGCTTCCCTGAAATATCACTACCACAGTTCTCTTCTCCTCTTAATTATCCTTTTGTTTTTTCCACTGGCTCCTCTTAACTATGAATTGGTTTCTGCTCTTTCTTTTTTAAACACTTAATTACTCTTTTGGAGTTTGTTTTCCCTAATGGCATCATCTATCAACCTTTATGTTGATTTGACCCAAATCTCTTATTTCCAGTCTCAATTTCTCAATCACACTCCTAAAGGTCATCACCTAAAACCTGTGTTTAAAATTAAACTCATATTTTACTTCAGTTTCTGTAGACACTTTCTATTAATAGCAAAACTAACCAGTCTTCTGGGCTTTAGCGGAATATGTGACCCTCAAATTCCTTCACCTTTCACACCCTATCAGGCAACCAGTGCAGTCAATTCTTTACCGTTGATTCATCTTCTCCCCTTTGTAATCTTTGCTCCCACCTTGTATTAGCTCTCCATATCTCTTGCCTGAATTATCACATTTGTTTCTTAACTTGTCCTCCAGCATTTAAGCTCCTATATAATCCACCCTGCATACTAATGCCACTGACTAGTGGCATTAAAAAAAACCTCTTGCACACTGATTTCATAATTTGCTTGCCTTATTCAAGAACTTCTGATTGCTTTCCACCACCTAATATGTCAAGATTACTGAATCAACTCTAATCCTTTCTCTGCCTAAATAAAAGACCCTGCATTGCCCAGTCTCACTTCTTTCATCAAATTCCAAGGCTTCTGGAATTGGAACTCTCCACTCTAGTCAATTATCTTGTTACTATCATCTTTTTCCCCAACAACTTCTGTATGTACGTATGTACACATGATGCTTCTCCCTGTATGAGCTATTTACTGCTAATAATGTTCCCCTGGCCTAAAATGCCTCCTTTCTTGGTTTCAGGTCCATATTCCAAGCAACACTTTCCCTAATGTCTCCAAAACAAAGCTATATCTCCCTCTTCCCACATTTTCTGCTTACTGTGACCATTGTCATGGTCATCATAGTCTCCAAATGTCTGTGTTAAGTGATGTAACACTTGATGATGTTAATATGAAAAGCGATTCTATTTACTAGTCTAGGTATACATCTTATTTTCCCATCAAAATAATGGGCTCTGGTATTCAGTTTAAAAGTAATGTCTTCCACTTTTTCAAATTCAGTATGCCAATGATAATTCTCAATAACTGCTTGAAACTATAAACACATGTATTTCTTATACTGCGTATTGCCTATAAACTTAGCAGTTTATCTGAATAGTAGTAAAATAGTTACTGTTCTCTTATTTTAAGGGGCTGTTTCCTTTACAGAATTGAAAATGCAAATATTCCCAAATGTTTAAGGCATTCTGCTTTGTATATTCAAACTGTACTAAAGTTATACCTTTTAGGGTAATATTTTTAATTATTCTGTGGAAAGAAAAGAAAGCCCCTGAAGGCTAACAGTTTGAGATTGAACAGGACACTGTTGGGAAGGGAGAGAGTCAGGGGTCATCGTCAAACAGACAAAAAACAATGGAGTCGATTGTGCCTGAAGATCGTGTATTTTTTTTTCACGAGACAGTGTGTTGACAGTTTCCTTCCTCTTGGGTCATTGTTGTCTGCTAAATGATCTGTGACAGCAAATTGATCACAAGCTTTTTCATGCAGGAAATATAATGCAGCCTTTCATTTTGTTACCTCCATTGCCAAACACCGAAACATTTCTTTGGGAAATTAATGTTAGTTTAGTATGTCATTTAGTAGTGGAAAGCATTGCATGTAGCTCTGGAAGCAATAAGAGTAGTGATTAATTTATCTTCACCAAGTTTCAGGTTTCTACTTACGTGTGATTGCAAAAGCAATAACACATTTTAAAATGTTAGTCTTCAAATGAGGTGTCTGTAATTATCATTTGAATAGATGAATGCATTAGCACATTTAGATATTGACCCATTCATTTCAAAATTTAGTCAAATATTGTCTTTAAGCCACCTATAAAAATTAATGCCAGTAGACATATTCTAACTGAAAAGTTGCTTCTTCCTCTAAAGAGCTAGGAACTTAAAATGGAACACAGACATAAGGTCTTTTACATTTATGTTTAAACATCTAAACCAGTCAGTCGGTGATTTCCCATGTCTGAAAAATAGCCCAAAGTAATGTTTTGTTTGTAGAATGTTGAAAATCTTTGCATTGGAAAAGTATGTAGAAAAATAAATTGGAAAGGCAGTTATTTAAGAGAGTATTTCACAATTCCTGTCTAATACTTTATAACAATCTTTGCTTTCCCATTAGGACATAGTAGTATTAGCATGGGGAAGAAAAAATTCAGGTAGGAATCATAGAAAAGAGTTGTTTCCTCTTTTAAAAATGGCCAGATTCAGTGTCAAAATTAAACTAATCTCAATTTAGTGTTTCATTTCTCCTCATAGTAAAAAGAAATAAAGGTGATTTTACTAAAATTTGGCATAGAGCCCTGACCAGTGAGGCTCAGTTGGTGGGATGTCATCCCACAAAGTGAAAGGTCATGGGTTTGATTCCTGGTCAGGGCACATACCTAGGTTGTGAGTTCAGTCCCGATGTGGATGCATGAGAGAGGCAACTGATTGATGTTTCTCTGTCTCTTTTCTTAAATATATTTTATTGATTATGCCATTATAGTTGTTCTATTTCCCCCCTTCATTCCCCTCCACCCTGCACACCCCTCCCCCACAACTCCCCCCCTTTAGTTTATGACCATGTGTCTCAAGTTCTTTAGATTCTATATTTCCCCTATTATTCTTGCCTTCCCCCTATCTATTTTCTACCTACCGTCTATGCTACTTATTTTCTGTACCTTCTCCCCCCTTCACCTCCTCCCACTTCTCTGTTGCTAACCCTCCATGTGATCTTCATTTCTATGGTTCTGCTCCTGATCTAGCTGTCCTCTTAGTTTGCTTTTGTTTCAGGTGTGGTTGTTACTGTGAGTTTGCTGTCCTTTCACTGTTCATCTTTTTTATCTTCTTTTTCTTAGATAAGTCTCTTTAACATTTCATATAATAAGGGCTTGGTGATGATGAACTCCTTGAACTTGATCTTATCTGAGAAGCACTTTATCTGTCCTTCCATTCTAAATGAAAGCTTTGCTAGATAGAGCAATCTTGGATGTAGGCCTTTGGATTTCATGACTTGGAATACTTCTTTCCAGCCCCTTCTTGCCTGGAAGGTCTCTTTTGAGAAATCAGCTGACAGTCTGATGGGAACTCCTTTGTAGGTGACTGTCCCCTCATCTCTTGCTGCTTCTAGGATTCTCTCCTTCATTTTAATCTTGGCTAATGTAATGATGATGTGCCTTGGTGTGTTTCTTCTTGGGTCCAACTTCTTTAGGACTCTCTGAGCTTCCTGGATTTCCTGGAAGTCTATTTCCTTTGCCAGAATGGGGAAGTTCTCCCTCATTATTTGTTCAAATAAGCTTTCCACTTGTTGCTGTTCCTCTTCCCCTTCTGGTACCCCTATAATTCAGATGTTGGAACATTTAAAGATGTCCTGGAGGTTCCTAAGCCTCTCCTCATTTTTTTGAATTCCTGTTTCTTCATTCTTTTCTGTTTGGTCATTTTTTCCCCTTCTGGTCCACTTCCTTGATTTGAGTCCCAGTTTCCTTTCCATCACTATTGGTTTCCTGTGCATTTTCCTTCATTTCAATTAGTTTAGCCTTCATTTGTTCCTCTAATTTGTGACTAAAATCAACCAGTTCTGTGAGCATCCTGATCACCAGTGTTTTGAACTATACATCTGATAGGTTGGCAATTTCTTGGTCACTTAGAGTTATTGGCTCAGGGGGTTTGAGTTGTTCTTGAGCCATGTTTTGGTCTGTTTGAGCCTGTTACGTATGAGGAGCAGAGCCCTAGGTGTTCACCAGAGTGGGGCCACCCAGGTCGCTGGTTTGCGATACTGTATGTGGGGGCGGGGTCAGAGAGGGAGCAATAGAGGTCCCCTCTGCTGCTTCCTGCAGCTGGGGCCTGTGCAGTCTGTCTCACTGCTTGCTCCTTCACTGGTTTATCTGCGTGTGAATGTGTGACTGCAGTTAGCCTGCTGCCTTGCACCCTCACTGGGTCTGCCTGTTGCTACCCCACACCTGGGATCCACCCACAACTGCCTGTGCACCTGGGTCGGGGGATCTTTTTTGCCCAACCCACTCCGCTGCTGGCTCCACCCCTCTTAGTGGTCTGGCTGAATGGTTTGTTGTTGTCAGACTTCCATATAGTTCAAATTTCTGTGGTTTGACTGCGTTTTTTTGTTGCTAAAACTTTGTTATTTTTAAACTTTGTTATGCGAGAAGGCACAATGTTTCCACCTACACCTCCGTCTTGGTGGAAGTCTGATGTTTCTCTCTTACATCAATGTTTCTCCCCATCTTTCTCTCTCCCTTCTCCTCTCTCTAAACACAAATAAATAATTTTTAAAAATTTGGCATAGAAATGTAAGAAAGTTATTTATTATAGAAAGAAAATATACAGGTATGTACAGGTAGTTAGCCACAAAAGGCAAATAACCTGACTCTATATTTTTCTTTTGATAATATACATATGGGTGCATGTTTACATATATTATTGAAAAATGACTTGGACAGGTTTTCTTTTTTGTGATTTCTGTATATTAGTGGAGGAATTGGTGTGTTAGATTTGTTAACTACAAATCAGTTTAATGTCTTGTGACAAAACATTGTCTGAAACAGTTCACTTTGATAAAATACTTTTGATGAACAAACTTGCAAACTACTTACTGTCTGATTTTAATTTATATTTTCAGATCTATTAAAATTTTATTTGATGATTATTATAAGACATGGCCTGAAATAGCTACATCAAAAGCTGTGGAATATGACAGAACTCCATATGAGGTGATCTAGTCTTATCCTGTGTCCTTTTGGTATATAGTAATCTCTTAATTATCTTCAGTTTGTCTTGCCTTTTAAGACTCATTCACATGTATTTGAAATCTGAAGGTGATAAACTGTTTGCTTTATCTACTAATCATTAACTTAATTTAGTTCCTCTTTGGTATAGTGCCTTGGACTGAAGTCTGATTAAAATCTAGGAAAAAATACAGGCAATTGTAGGAATAAATGATGAAGTTCTCAATTTTATGAGGTTTACTTCACTCCCTTCTCCCCAGAAAGAAGCTATCATAGCAGGAGGAACCTTTTTGATTATGAACACTATTGTCCTCAAAGTCAGAGAAAATATTAAGTAGAAAGACAGAAAGAAAAAAAAAAACCCTAGGGCTTCCAGTTATATCAACCTAAGACAAAATCCGTTACCATCATGCATTAGGAATTAGACAGAAATGGGAGAGCTGGACAACTTCCTAGTTTCATTTAATTAAATATTTAGAGTACTATTTCATTATTTGGATCATAGTAGTTTATCCATTCTACACACATTTACTGGGAAATGATTTTGCTTCATCTGTTCTGCTGAATGGTGCATTCTGAAGTTATTAGTGATTCCCAATTCCCAGATTCAGTGGTTATTTTTTGCTCTTTATCTTGCACTCTCACCAGCTATGCTGTCCTTGTGTTAGATGACGCCATGTACATCCACAGTTTTCCTCCTACCTTACTTAGTGCTCCTCTGCCTCTTCCCTTAGAGAAAACTTTGTTTTGGTCCACTCTACCAAAAGACCTCATCTACAACCTTGGTTTTCATTAGCCTACCTTCCAGTAAGTCCTAAAGCCTCCTCACTAGCCAGGCCCTCTCATGAATTCTGCATGCATACTTAAATCTGTGCATTTATTTTTGTACCTCTCACCTGTATGTGTTCAGGCATCTCATACTTAAGAGGTCCCAAAGTGAATTCATTATCTTGCCCTAAAACTTATCCTTTATTACCTCTCTTGGTTAGTGCAGATCACTATTATTGCATTTACTTGCCTGAACCAGAATCACAGAAGTTTCCTAGACCTCTTTGTCTCCTTCATTAAGCTTTGTTGATTTTATCTCCTGCATCATGAATGTTTTCCCTCCATCTCACCCTACCCCACACCACTGCCTTAATTTGTGGTCTCATCAAATTTCTTCTCATCATAGTGATGGTATTATAACTGGTCTCAATAAAACAAAACATCACATTGTATGTGATGTTAAAAAAAGCTTCCTTTTTAAGGCACAAATTATAGCAAGAAGTACTACTAAGCTTAATTTAAAAACTTAAGTTAGATTAATAACTTCTAAGAAAGTACACATTCTTTTGGGATATTGGTTATTTATTTTGTGACTAAATATTACCTTCCTTACTCACTCATGGATTAGTGGTTAAGAAAATAACTTAAGGTGTTTTAAGAAACACAGTCATTAGTAGCTCTATTAGCATAAAGAATTTTATTTTATTTTATTTTTAAATGTATTTTATTGATTATGCTATCACAGATTTGTCCCATTTTTTCTCTCCTTTATTATCCTCCTCTCTGTACGTCACCTCCCACCATCATTGCCTCACCTTAGCTCATGTCCATGGTCATACATATAAGTTCTTTGGTTTCACCTTTTCCCATACTGTTCTTAACCACCTCCCTGTCTATTTTGCAACTACCGCTTATGCTTCTTATTCCCTGTATCTTTTCCCCCATTCTCCCCCTTCCTCCACCCCACTGATAACTCTCCATGTGATCTCTATTTCTTTGAATCTGTTCCTGTTCTATTTGTTTGCTTAGTTCATTTTTGTTTTTATTTTTTTAGATTCAGTCATTGATAGTTGTGAGTTTGTTGTCATTTTACTGCTCAAATTTTTGATCTTCTATTTCTTAGATAAGTCCCTTTAACATTTCATGTAATAAGAGCTGGGTGATGATGAACTCCTTTATCTTGACCTTATTTGGGAAGTACTTTATCTGCCCTTCCATTCTAAATGAAAGTTTTGCTAGATAGAGAAATCTTGGATGTAGGTCCTTGCCTTTCATGACTTCACATAACTTCTTTCCATCCCCTTCTTGCCTGCAAGCTTTCTTTTGAGAAATTAGCTGAGCGTCTTATGAGAACTCCTTATAGGTAACTGTCTCCTTTATTCTTGCTGCTTTGAAGATTCTCTCTTTATCTTTAATCTTGGGTAACTTAATGATGATGTGTCTTGGTGTGTGCTTCCTTGAGTCCAACTTCTTTGCGACTCTCTGATCTTCCTGGAAGTCTATTTCTTTTGGCAGATTGGGAAAGTTCTCCTTCATTATTTGTTCAAATAAATTTTCAATTTCTTGCTCTTCTTCTTCTCCTCTGGCACCCCTGCGGTTTGGATGTTGGAGTGTCTAAAGTTGTCCCAGAGGTTCCTAAGCCTCTCCTCATTTTTTTTGAATTCTTACTTCTTCATTCTGTTCCAGTTGAATGCTTATTTCTTCCTTTTGCTCCAAACCATTGATTTGAGTCCCAGTTTCCTTCCCTTCACTGTTAATTCTTTGTACATTCTCTTTTATTTCATTTTTTATAGCCTTCACTTTTTCCTCTATTTTGCAACCACACTTAATCATTTCTGTGAGCATCCTAATTACCAGTGTTTTGAACTCTGCATCTGATAGGTTAGCTATCTCTTCATCGTTTAGTTGTATTTTTTGGAGCTTTGATCTGTTCTTTCATTTGGACCATATTTCTTTGTCTCAGCACACCTGTAACATAGTAAGGGGCAGAGCCTTAGGTTTTAGACAGGGTAGGCAACCCATTTTGCTGCATTGTGATGCTGTATGTGTGTGAGGAGGTCTGAGAGGGAATGGTGCCATTTGCTTAGCTGGCTTTCAGTCACTTCCCTCACTACCCACAAGCAAATTGGGTCCTTTTGGTGCTGATTCCTGAGTGGATGCTTTCGTGTACATTCCAGGACTCTCCGATGAACTCTTCTGTAAGGCTGGGAGTTTCTCCTGCTGCCTCAACCCCCACAGATCTTTTCAGTCAGAGGTTTTCAGACTTTATTTATCCAAGTTGGAACCCTGTCTTGCTCCCCAGTTGATCCTCCTGGTTTATCCTCATGCAACTATGTGACTGCCTGCTCTGTAAGCTGCCACCTTGTCACACAGTCTCTCTATCCTGGTTATCCATCTCCACTGCTCCTATGTGTCTGGATGAATGTTTCTTCTTTAACTCCTTTGTTGTCAGACTTCCATACAGTTTGATTTTCTGGGAGTTCTGGTTATTTTTTTTTATTTTAAACATGTTGTTGTCCTTCTTTTGGTTGTGCAAGAAAGCAAAGTATACCTACCTATGCCTCTATCTTGGCCAGACAGAACTTTATTATTTTTGATAGCAAAGTACATGGATATTTACTTCACTTCAGACATTAGTGGTTGGGTGCTGCTCAGTCAATTCAGCACACATATCTTCAGTGCCTACCATGTGTGAAGCACTGAGGAGCTCAGATGTGTTCCTGGAGAGAATAACCCTTAACAAACAGGTATCAAGAGGCAATTGACATAGTCTTGGGAATGACTCAGCGTCCAACTCCTTCAACCAAAAACCAAACTAATAGGTATAGGATGGTGCTTTATGGAATAACAAGAATATATAAAGAGACATTTGGAGACTCCAAACTGCTAAGAAAAAAATAATTGAAGCATATGCCAAAACTTAGCAAAATTTGGAAATGATTTTTTTGCAATGAAGAGCAATTTCAGTATGGAAGGATAATGAATCACCACTGACCGCAGTTTCTTCTTCAAAAGAGTTTGACATCAGAATGTTTAATTTGGTTCTTGTTTCTGTGTCTGTCACTAACCTAGTATGTAATTTATCTCTCTTTGTGAAGGCAATAGCTGGCAATGTTTACCTCTGGCCCAGAAGAATTTCTGAGACTTTGATTCTAGCCCTTGGCGCAATATTTCACAATCACCTTGCCTTTTCTTCCCCCAGGGATTTGTTATAAGAATGTTTCAAGACCTTTCCTCCAGTAATAACCAGCACAATTTAAAAAATAAATGTAAACCTTACATCTGTTGCTGGCCGTTTTGTCTTCGGATAATTCAGCTGGATGAGATCCAGTACTATTTTTTTAATGACCTAATTTCCTAGCAATAATAAAGATGAAGCTTTTAGATTATATTGTAGAATGCTTCTTCAACTACTCAGAAATGAAAGGGAAACTTCTAATAACTTCATTTTCTGCAGTTACATCCTTATCACTGGAAACATTATTAAGCTCTTGTGCATATTTTTAAAAGATTTTTATTTTATGAACAGTGATGAGTAGTTATATTTTATTGTGGGTCATAACTCTTCTGTATCTTCGTGCCACATATCTACCCATAGTCATGTGTGCCACAATAATAGTGAGTTCAATCTTGTGTAACACTGTCCACAGAGTGCGCTCTGTGTTATGTTTTCTAATCACCCTAATGTTATTTCCTAATTTATTTATCAACACCTAATACATGTCATGTCCAGAGATGTATCAACCTGATGAGCTAGGTGTTACTGTTATTACTTGGTTTTACAAATGAGAAAACCAAGACCAAGGGAAGCCAAGTAATTTTACCTAAGGTCACACATGTAAGAGGGAATATTATATATTGGTAAAGAGTGTAAATTTTGGAGCCAGATTGCTAAAGTTTAATCCTGACTCCGCCATTTACTAGCTGTGTGACCTTGGCTAAATTTCTTAACCCCTCTGTGTTCCAGTTCCTTTGTCCATAAAAAAGAATAAGAGCAGCATATACCTCATAGCATCTACAATGGCACCTAGAACATACTGAGTGTTCAATAAGTGTGGTTATTATTAATTAGTGCAGATAGACTGTGGCCCGAGGACTTGAATCAGATTCTCTGACTCCATGTTTGTTGTTTCCTATCATTCTATACTGTTTTTATAATATGATATAAAATATTTATTTATTTATAGCCCACAACTTAAATTCAAAC